ATTGGAGAACAGGACAGGACAGTGTAGGACAGGACAGTATAGGAGAACAGGACAGGACAGTATATGACAGGACAGTATAGGAGACAGGACAGTATAGGCAGATATGACAGGACAGTATAGGAGAACAGGACATGACAGTATATGACATGACAGGACAGTATAGGAGAACAGGACAGTATATGACAGGACAGTATATAAGAGAACAGTATAGGAGGACAGGACAGTGTAGGACAGGACAGTATAGGAGAACAGGACAGGACAGTATATGACAGGACAGTATAGGAGAACAGAACAGTGACAGGACAGTATAGGAGACACGGACAGGACAGTTAGGACAGGAAGTATAGGAGACAGGACAGAACAGTAGTATGCAGGACAGTATAGGAGAACAGGACAGACAGTGATAAGGAGAACAGGGCAGTGTAGGAGAACAGGACACACAGGACAGTATATGCAGGACAGTATAGGAGAACAGGACAGGACAGTATAGGAGGACAGGACAGTATAGGAGAACAGGACAGGACAGTATAGGACAGGACTGTATAGGAGAACAGGACAGGACAGTATAGGACAGGACTGTATAGGAGAACAGGACAGGACAGTATATGACAGGACAGTATAAGAGAACAGGACAGGACAGTAAAGGAGAACAGGACAGGACAGTATGGGAGAACAGGACAGGACAGTATAGGAGGACAGGACAGTACAGGACAGTATAGGAGGACAGGGACAGTATAGACAGGGCAGTATAGGAGAACAGGACGGACAGTTAGACAGGAAGTATAGGAGACAGACAGGACAGGACACTATAGGAGAACAGGACAGGACAGTGTAGGAGGACAGGACAGTATAGGAGGACAGGAGAGTATAGGAGGACAGGACAGTATATGACAGGGCAGTATAGGAGGACAGGACAGTAAAGGACAAGACAGTATAGGAGGACAGGACAGTATATGACAGGACAGTGTAGGAGAACAGGGCAGGACAGCATATGACAGGACAGTATAGGAGAACAGGACAGGACAGTATATGACAGGACAGTATAGGAGAACAGGACAGGACAGTGTAGGACAGGTGGACAGTATAGGAGACAGGACAGGACAGGTAGACAGGACAGTATAGGAGAACAGGACAGGACAGTGTGACAGGAGGGTACAGGAGAACAGGACAGTACTAGTTAGAACAGGACAGTAGTAGGAGACAGACAGGAAGAGGTACAGGATGTGTAGAAACATCGGACAGTATAGGAGAACAGGACAGGACAGTATATGACAGGACAGTATAGGAGAACAGGGTCAATTGGTTCTGGTAGCCTTCCACAAGCTTCCCACAATAAGTTGGGTGAATTTTGGCCCATTCCTCCTGACAGAGCTGGTGTAACTGAGTCAGGTTTGTAGGCTTCCTTGCTCGCACACGCCTTTTTCAGTTCTGCCCACAAATCTTCTATAGGATTGAGGTCAGGGCTGAGTTATGGCCACTCCAATACCTTGACTTTGTTTTCCTTAAGCCATTTTGCCACAACTTTGGAAGTATGCATTGTCCATTTGGGCGACCAAGCTTTAACTTCCTGACTGATGTCTTGAGATGTTGCTTAAATATATCCACATAATTTTCCTTCCTCATGATGCCATCTATTTTGTGAAGTGCACCAGTCCCTCCTGCAGCAAAGCACCCCCACAGCATGATGCTGCCACCTCGTTCTTCACGGTTGGGATGGTGTTCTTCGGCTTGCAAGCACCCCCTTTTTCCTCCAAACATAACGATGGTCATTATGGCCAAACAGTTCTATTTTTGTTTAATCAGACCAGAGGACATTTCTCCAAAAAGTACGATCTTTGTCCCCATGTGCAGTTGCAAACCGTAGTCTGGCTTTTTTATGGCGGTTTGGGAGCAGTGGCTTTTCAGGTTATGTCGATATAGGACTAGTTTTACTGTGGATATAGATATTTTTGTACCTGTTTCCTCCAGCATCTTCACAAGGTCCTTTGCTGTTGTTCTGGGATTGATTTGCACTTTTCGCACCAAAGTAAGTTAATCTCCTTCCTGAGCGTTATGACGGCTGCGTGGTCCCATGGTGTTTATACTTGCGTACTATTGTTTGTACAGATGAACGTGGTACCTTCAGGCGTTTTGAAATTGCTCCCAAGGATGAACCGGACTTGTGGAGGTCTACAATTCTTTTTCTGAGGTCTTGGCTGATTTCTTTTGATTTTCCCATGATGTCAAGCAAAGAGGCACTGAGTTTGAAGGTAGGCCTTGAAATACATCCACAGGTACACCTCCAATTGACTAAAATGATATCAATTAGCCTATCAGAAGCTTTCTAATGCCATGACATCCTTTTCTGGAATTTTCCAAGCTGTTTAAAGGCACAGTCAACTTAGTGTATGTAAACTTCTGACTCACTGGAATTGGGATACAGTGAATTGTATACCACACCCCCTCGGGCTTTATTGCTTAAACAATTACCTTGTATTTTCCTGTCATGGTGAATAAAAAGTTGGCTACTCAAAATGTTGTCAGATATGTTCTGGCAATTATATGAGCTGGCTAGACAAAGAAATACATTATTAATTTGATTATGCTGGTCCTAAGAAACATTATAAGACTAATACAATTTATTTTCAAAAGAATAGAATAGCATATGTTGAGTTTAATTATGTTACTGGTCGGTGCAGCCCAGGACTACACCATGCAAATTAAATCTATTTTATTAATTAAACAGACAAGAGACACACTTAGCCTACATTTCCCTACCCTGATCACAGTCAACACACATAGGACCTATATTTTATAGTAAGAATTCATATAATGGAATATAACAGAATAAAATATAAATCATATTCTTCCCACACAACTTGAGTGTCACGAGCAAGTGGAACCGCTGTCATATTACAAAAAACGTGTATTTTGAAACACAGGCCATGTCCTTATTTTTGAGCCCATGTCCTCATTTGTTTTAAAAATCGGACCTGGATGAACCTCTGTAGGATGATTTCAGAAATTTGCTTTCAGAAAGTTGCTTTCAGAAAGTTGGATGTGATCACACAATCGTGCGTTTTCTCTTCTTTCAAACGCCCCAACAGTTATTCTGTCTGAAGACAGATAGCCTACTAGCGATTTGTCGTTTGTTAGAAACGTATGCATATTAACCCATAATTTATTAACTAAATAAAAGGGCCTTTAAATATTTACCTGTCAAAGTAAAAAAATAAATGGCAGTGTGCATTCCCCCAGGCTAAATGCCAAACATTTCAAACAAGGCTTCAGACAGTCCTGTCTCCATCTCAGGTGTGTACTGTACACTACAGTGGCTTGCGAAAGTATTCACCCCCCTTGGCATTTTTCCTATTTTGTTGCCTTACAACCTGGAATTAAAATGGATTTTTTGGGGGGGTTGTATCATTTGATTTACACAAAATGCCTACCACTTTGAAGATGCAAAATATTTTTTTCTTGTGAAACAAACAAAAGACAAAAAAACTGAAAGCTTGAGCGTGCATAACTATTCACCCCCCAAAGTCAATACTTTGTAGAGCCACCTTTTGCAGCAATTACAGCTGCAAGTCTCTTGGGGTATGTCTCTATAAGCTTGGCACATCTAGCCACTGGGATTTTTGCCTATTCTTCAAAGCAAAACTGCTCCAGCTCCTTCAAGTTGGATGAGTTCTGCTGGTGTACAGCAATCTTTAAGTCATACCACAGATCCACAATTGGATTGAGGTCTGGGCTTTGACTAGGCCATTCCAAGACATTTAAATGTTTCCCCTTAAACCACTTGATTGTTGCTTTAGCAGTATGTCCTGCTGGAAGGTGAACCTCCATCCCAGTCTCAAATCTCTGGAAGACTGAAACAGGTTTCTCTCAAGAATTTCCCTGTATTTAGCACCATCCATCATTTCTTCAATTCTGACCAGTTTCCCAGTCCCTGCCAATGAAAAATCATCCCAACAGCATGATGCTGCCACCACCATGCTTCACTGTGGGGATGGTGTTCTCGGGGTGATGAGAGCTGTTGGGTTTGCGCCAGACATAGCGTTTTCCTTGATGGCCAAAAAGCTCAATTCTAGTCTCATCTGACCAGAGTACCTTCTTCCATATGTTTGGGGAGTCTCCCACATGCCTTTTGGCGAACACCAAACGTGTTTGCTTATTATTTTCTTTAAGCAATGGCTTTTTTCTGGCCACTCTTCCGTAAAGCCCAGCTCTGTGGAGTGTACGGCTTAAAGTGGTCCTATGGACAGATACTCCAATCTCCGCTGTGGAGCTTTGCAGCTCCTTCAGGGTTATCTTTGGTCTCTTTGTTGCCTCTCTGATTAATGCCCTCCTTGCCTGGTCCGTGAGTTTTGGTGGGCGGCCCTCTCTTGGCAGGTTTGTTGTGGTGCTATATTCTTTCAATTTTTTAGAATGGATTTAATGGTGCTCCGTGGGATGTTCAAAGTTTCTGATATTTTTTTTATAACCAAACCCTGAACTGTACTTCTCCACAACTTTGTCCCTGACCTGTTTGGAGAGCTCCTTGGTCTTCATGGTGCCGCATGATTGGTGGTGCCCCTTGCTTAGTGGTGTTGCAGACTCTGGGGCCTTTCAGAACATGTGTATATATACTGAGATCATGTGACACTTAGATTGCACACAGGTGGACTTTATTTAACTAATTATGTGACTTCAGAGGTAATTGGTTGCACCAGATCTTATTTAGGGGCTTCATAGCAAAGGGGGTGAATACATATGCACGCACCACTTTTCCATTATTTATTTTTTAGAATTTCTTTAATAAGTAATTTTTTTTATTTCACTTCACCAATTTGGACTATTTTGTGTATGCCCATTACATGAAATCCAAATAAAAATGCATTTAAATTACAGGTTGTAATGCAACAAAATAGGAAAATCGCCAAGGGGGATGAATACTTTTGCATGGCACTGTATAAATAAATATAAGGACTAAGAACGAAGTCATGTTTGATCTCCTCTCCTGTGTTGCAGCGACCCTCCAGAAGAAGAGTGAGTGGCCGGCCGCCCCCCTCAGTGGGAACGGGGGGAATGGACGGACAGCCACTTCTATAGACGGAGAGCCTCTCAGAGCGAAACCTACTGCTGCAGGTATAGCTGTGTGTGTGTGTTTTCTGTGTGTGTGTATTTCATGAATACTATGTGTGTGTTATGTGCGTGCATCCGTGTGTGTGTGTTTCTCATGTGTCCTCTCTTTCTGTGTAGGCCCTGAATGGTTTTGTCCTGGTGGTCACCACTAATGGCTCCATCTTCTACCCTCTCCAACCATCCAGGATTACCTGGGCTTCCACCAGGTACATACTGATCATTACTTATTGATTATAGAATTGTTGAATATAGGATTAGGATGACTTGGGCACTATATTTATGACTCTTGTAGCATTCTGGGTGTTAATTCTGGGCTTATTTATTGATGTATATAATGCTGTCCAGTCTGATGTGGTGCACCAGAGTGTTTACGACCTGATCCACATGAATGACAGAGCTATGTTCCGGTGTCAGCTTCACTTCGCCCTCAACCCCAACCAGAACGACTCAGAGGCCGGGCCAGACGGTGTGTACAGTAAATGGACCACAGCACTCTGAACATGCTCTGTTTCTTTTAGTGATTGGTATGTTGTTGATAGAACAGTCCATATATCTCAACATGTATCTAATGGTAATGTCATCTGTCCTCTGCAGCCATGCAATCTAGCAACAGGCCCCATAGTGAGTCAATGAGCTACCTGCCCCAGCACATCCCTCCAGAGAACAGCTCCTTCCTAGAGAGAAGCTTCTGCTGTCGCTTCCGCTGTCTACTAGACAACACCTCCGGCATCCTGGTAGGACCACATGAAAAATAAAGATATGATAAATACATATATCAAATGTGATCCATAGGTTAACCATAATCCATAAATGACATGGACAGCACTCTCCGAAAAATACATTTGAATGATTCACTGAATGCAACATGCTCTCTCTCTCCTCTAGGCGTTGAACTTCCAGGGGCGTCTGAAGTATGTGTGTGGCCAGGGGAGGCTGGGGGATGACGGGGTCACGGCCCCCGCTGAGCTGACCCGCTTGCCATCGCTGTGCCCCTGCAGCCCCCGGCTGTCATGGAGATCAGGACCAAGACACTCATCTTCCAGACCAAACACAGACTGGACTTCGCCCCCATGGGTATAGACACCAGGTACTATAGACACCAGGTACTGGAGTAACCCCAAAATCCTGCAGTGTTAGAACCCTTACCCTAACCCTATGGGCATAGACACCAGGTACTGTACAGAAAGAAGGGGAAGCAATGTGTGTAATCCCTCATCACGTCTCACAGCATCACTGAGAACATTGTACCCTCCCTGGGACTAATATAGAGGGAACTTGAGAGGACAATGTTGGTTTCCTTCTAATAATATGTGCTCTGTCATCGGACCTTCATAAATCGACCTGTGTGTGTGTGTCCGTGTGTGTGTACCATGTGTCTCTTCGATCCCCTCCAGAAGTAAATTGGTGCTGGGTTACTCTGAGACAGAGTTGGTCACTTGAGGCTCAGGCTACCAGTTCATCCATGCTGCTGACATGATGTACTGCGCAGACAACCACCTCAAAAGTGAGTTAGATTGTAGTTACTCATTACACACATGCACACACACACACACGCATATGAGTAAAACAATTCTGAAGCTTACATCTGGTATTTTGCAAGCCAACATTCAGTATGATGCAGTCTGACTCCTCTCTCTCTCTCTCTCTCCCCCCCCTCTCTCTCTCTCTCTCTCTCTCTCCTCTGAAAAAACAGGAGAGACTGGTTTCACCATCTTCAGGCTGCTGACTAAGGCAGGTGTGTGGGTTCAGGCCAACGCCAGGGTCGTCTTCAAGGCAGGGAGACCCGACTTCATCGTCGTTCGACAGAAAGCCCTAACGTGAGCCTACTGTTGACATTTATCTTTACTCAAAATAGTTGTATCATTCCATGGTATGGTTTATATACGGTATGTTTTAGTGGCCTTTGACCTTTGTCACCCATCTACAGGAACCAGGAGGGCGAGGAGCACCTGCGTCAGAAGAGAATACAGCTTCCCTTCAACTTTGCCACTGGAGAGGCTCTGCTGTATGAGTCCTGTTCCTCTCTAGGTACTGCCATTATGCCTCCAGGACCACCCATCCCCCAAGGCCTCACTCCCCCAGGCTCCAGCCCTGAAGACAAGCCCCTAGAACCTGCCTCTCTCCTGGGGCCCCTACTCTGTCAAGACTGTTCCGTTTACACTCAGCCCCAGGACCCTAACCCTAGCCTGGACCTCCAGGACTTTTCCCCAGACTTAGACCTAGCCTTCCCCCAGGAACAGGACCCAGGCCTGGAGAGACCCTTCCTGGACAGCCACGCTCTGCTGAGTGTCCCCAGGGAACTTCAGGGGCCCCAGAGGCCCAGCAGGGGAGACCCCACAGCCCAAGCCATGATGGACTCTCTGGGGGAGATCCTGGGTGAGATGGGGGTGGGGGCTTGGAGGGGCTGAGGTTGGAGGAGACAGAGCTGAGGAAGTGGGAGAGCACCCTCTTCAGGATCAACATGGAACAGCAGGATGTGACGGGGAAGCTGGATGATATCTTAGCCAATGACGTGTTCTCATATGTGGAGGAGGCTCTGATGAGGGAGAGTGATGGTGGATGTGTGATTGGGACAGGCCACTGAGCCAATAAACGGGCTCCCTGCTCACAACACTGCCAATCAGAACACACTGGGTGTGTTCCCTCACTCCCAGAGTTCCATATTGCCAGGCAACCAGGGGTTCAATGGCGGGAACGGCTCACACAGTGAGAACCAATGGCAGATGGCTGGTCCACACATGACCTATAAACTCAACAGCTATGAAGAGCAGAGGCTGCTGGGAAATTGAGTTGTTGGTGGCATGGAGCAAGGGCTGGGCTGTAGTCCTGGGATTGTTAGAGAGACACGCAGCGCTGTAAACACAAACATACCACCCAAGGCTGCTCAGACGTTTGCAGGGCAATGGACTCAAGGAAGTGGCGGCTATCTCCATGGCAACCGAATGGTCCCACAACCATCCCATATTAACAACCAACAACAGTCCTGGATACCCTCCATCCAAAGGATTATCCATAATAACAACACCCTTCTCCCTGTCCCTCTCCCCAACTTCTACAATAATCTCCATGAGGCCTTTGACCAAACCATGCAGCCCAGCCTGGAGTTACACCACTCTGGGACTGGAGATGCAAACAGGCAGTTCTCAGGGCAGTCCTGTCCGGGTCCTTCATATCAGGACCCAAGGCAGTCTTGGCAACAGCCACGGCAAAATACACAATGGCAACCATGGCAGATACCACAGGGTTTTCCAGAAAAGCCGGACACCTTCACACAAGCCCCAAACACACGACACACATACAGTCCAATAACGCATCCAGAGCTCAAACACTCACTCACACGGATCTGTACAGTAGTCTTTATTCTACACAGGTGAGAGTGCTGCAATCCATCTTACTACTGTTTTAAATGTCTAACATGCGTTAACTCCTTATGAGTCCTTATGACTGTGTATAAGCTCTTATGATAACTAACTGCATGTCAATGTTTCACACATGATGAGCATCTAACTCTTCAACTCTCCTCTTAAACAGGTCTGTGTTCGTTGTGTTATTGCTGCCCCCTGTGGTTAGGTGATATACTTTTTCTCTGGAGAGTTCCACCCTCTCTCTCTTGCCACAATGATCCCATTGTCCTCTAGCTCAGTGTTTCTCAACCAGGGGTACTAGGACCCCTAGGGGTACTTGGCCTATTCACAGGGGTACTTGAGAAGACTCATGAGACCATAGGCTTACTGGTCAAATGCATATGAGGAGGTACTTCAAGGGTACTCTGGGCAGAGCAAAATGTACTTGGTGGTACAGTAACCAAAAAAGGTTGGGAACCAGTGCTCTAGCTAGCCCTCCAATATCCACAACATGTTAAACCCAGATTCTGGTGTTACATTGTTAGTGGTTAACTTGGCTGTTTGCCCCGATACAACAAGAATTTGACGAGACCATTTTATGTATTGTCACAGTGTCTTTCATTGGTGTAACATTTACTTTCTGTAGAGGCTCCATGTAAAAACAACACAAACACACAGTACACCCTCCCCACAGCAGTCAGTCCTTCTCTATGTCCTGATTCAGTGAGAAGACGTGATCTCCATCTCCAGTACACTGACCTATGATGCCCTCTGGTGGGCACGGGGTACAATCCCATTGCACTGGCTGTGCATGTAAAACTTGGAGTACCCCTCATATTTGCTACATTGGTGTTAGAAGTTGGATGGGGCTACCTTTAGACCACTGAACCATTGAAGACATAGCCGTGTGTGAGAGACTTGAGAAATGGAAGTGTGTGGGAGCATTTTCTGAAGGAAGTGGGGTAATGTTATTTCAGCAGGACATTCTCTCTGTCTGTCTGTCTGTCCTCCTCAGTAATGAAGCACTCTGTCCCCAAAACAACCCAGACACAGACACACTGGGGGTCACGACCTGTAGGGTCACAGACTCAGTAAATCTTTGACCTCCAGGATGGACAGAGACCGCAGGCCACACTGTGATGGACAGCAGAGGAGATGCAGAGGATGGAGAGCGGGAGAGAAAGAGAGAGACGGGGGGGGTAGTCATCAAGGCAAAGGGTGGCTATTTGAAGAATCTCAAATATAACATATATTTTTTTTTGTTTAACACTTTTTTGGTTACTACATGATTCCATATGTGTTATTTCATAGTTATGATGTCTTCACTATTATTCTACAATGTAGAAAATAGTCAAAAGTTAAGGAAAACCATTGAATGAGTAGGTGTTCTAAACATTTTGGCAGTAGTGTATGAGATGAGTAATGCAACATATGTAAACATTATTTAAAGTGACTAGACACATGAGGAAGAGAGAAGAATGACTGCCCAGTTGTCTTCCTTTCTCTCAGTGAAAAACACTTCTTTTTCTGAGTATGGTGATTATGTTTTTGCATACAACTGTCTACATTGAGCTCAAATTCATTTTTATTTGGATACTGCAGATTATGGTTTCATGTAAACTTTCTACTGTCTTTTGTTAGTCTGTATAGACTGGCACCTGTCTGTGCTGTGGCCAGCTTGTTGTTGGCAAGGCAACAGTGTAAAATGGGTGAAAGCTGAACAGGAACAGCCACCCAGGCTTTTTCTACATTTACTGCAGATGCAGCCTAGACCTCTAGGGGCAGTGTTCACCATTGTCCTGGATATTACAGTGGTCAGCAACCGGTCGATCGCGATCGACTTGTCGATCTTCAAGGCATTCCTAATCGATCCCCAAACATTTCTGGAGAAAAGCCAACGGCTTGCGTTACTTTTTCTGCGCAGTGGCCGGTAGGTGCACTTGATTCAGAGGCCCTGTGCACCGGATAGGCAAAGTGTTCCCATTTTGAACCTTTTCATTTGTCTGAAAAGACAAACTCCGCATATCGGCACACCGGAATATCTGTGGCTAAACCGAGTGCTCTTACGGTGCTGGCCGATCGGATAGCTCAAATCACCGTGCCTACAGCTTCCATCAAAGTTTGATACTAGCCTAGATGAGATTTCGTAACTTTTAAAAACCATGACCAAAGAGAGACTGTCAAAGATTACAGCAAATAGCTGTTGTTTTTATGAGTGAGTTAATGTTTAAGTTTTTATTCAGAACTGTCAACACTGTTTTTATTCAACACTATTACAAAATATAATACTCGCTTCTCCATACTACCATACTACCATACTACCATACTACCATACTACCATACTACCATACTACCATACTACCATACTACCATACTACCATACTACCATACTACCATACTACCATACTACCATACTACCATACTACCATACTACCATACTACCATACTACCACTCGCGCTGCAGCTGCAATGGATTTGTAGCCAAGTGTATCGATAGCCCTGCGTTTTTATTATTATTAGCAGCTGGTCTTGTCTATTTTAATATCGAGGAATATTTAACTTTCTCTGGTCATAGGAACAACATTAATTTGTGCATGAGGCAGATGCGAATGCGGTCGACTCGAGTTTCGTCATCAAGTGGAAGACGGTGTCCCCTCTCTAGTCAGTCTCACGGGAGGAAAGCAGGAGAGAGCAGGGACCGTGAGGGACGGGCCCTCTGCTGCTCTTTCCCTCCCTCCGCTGAGACTAATGCCATGCTCACAACAACTGGGAACTCGGACATCTCCGAGTTCTGACTTCAGTGGGTTCAAGACAACTGATGACCGTTCAAAACGATTTCCCCCAGTTTTTTTCTGAGTTCCCAGTTGTTTTGAACATGGCATTAGTCGGGCATCTTTCTAGAGCTCCGACTTTCCGACCTGAAGATCACTGACATCATCATTTTACTTTAATTTTTTTCTTCAGAGTTCCCAGTTGACTTGAAAGCACCATGCCCATCAGATGCAGGTACCATCAGTCCAGTAAAATAAAAAAGCAATTTATTTCAATTTATACTCAGCTGTGCCTTGCAAGTGCTACACCAACTGATCTGTTTTGTTATCGAAGCTCGAGTTTTGAAATATAATATGGTCTGAGAAGAACAATATTGTCAGGCCAGGCATATAGCCAATATGCTGTTTTAATGTATTAGGCCTACTTCACAAACCTCATTCCTACAGAACTGTTTTTATTAGGTTAATGTTACATTTTTAAAGTAATGTTTAAAACAAATCTGAGCGGTAGATCTCTGCTTGCTTTTTGACTGCAAAAGTGATCTTGACTCTTGAGAAAATGTTGGTGACCACTGCTGTAGTAGAATATGGGTTGCACATTTAATGTATGAAAATCAAAGCATTATCTATTGTTATGCTATGCTCAGAAATAAGATAACAGCTATGGATACAGAGATATGTATATATTTTTTATAATAGATATGAGCAGGTTTTACAGAATATGTTTTTCTGACCTGCACCCATTATAACCTGCTGGGACACTAGGGATCTGACCTCTCCTCTACCCCTACCTCTCCCTCTGTGATCTTCCTTTCCCTCTACCCCTGTGACCTCCTTCTACCTCTCCCTCCCCCTGTGACCTCCCTCTTCCTCTCCTCTCCCTATCCCCCATGACCTCCCTCTTCCTCGCCTCTCCCTCTCCCCCTGTGACCTCCCTCTTCCTCTCCTCTCCCTCTTCCCCTGTGACCTCCTTCTACCTCTCCCTCTCCCCCTGTGACCTCCCTCTTCCTCTCCTCTCCCTCTCCCCCTGTGACCTCCTACCTCTCCCTCTACCCCTGTGACCTTCCTCTCCTCTCCCTCCCCCCTGTGATCTCCCTCATCTTCCCTCTCTCCCCCGTGACCTCCCTCTTCCTCTCCTCCCCCTCTCCCCATATGACCTCCCTCTTTCTCTTCCTCTGGTGTATCTTCCCCATACTACTCCACTGTCATCACTTCAGTGTGACTACTGAGAGAATACAGAATTATTCCACAGGTAAAGGCCACTGATAAAGAGAATGAACTCACCATAGAGTGACGTTTTTATAGTTTACCTCTGTAATCATCGGATCTGGGTTCAAATACATGTGTTTTTGAGGATTATTCTTTTTTAAATACTTATTTTCTGTGTATTTAAGTATTTTCAAATAATGTGGCCCAAATCAACTACTTCCATTTGTCACGGTTTCGGCCGAGACTGCTCCTCCTCCTGATTCGGGCAGGCTTCGGCGTTCGCCGTCCCCGGAGTACTAGCTGCCACCGTTGAATGTTTCGTGGGGTGATTGCTTTGGTCTGTCTTGTACACCTGTGTCTGTTTGTGTTCTGATTACGTGTCCTATAAGTTCCCTGTTTTGTATTGGTTAGATTGTGTGTTGTTTTCGCCTGTCTTTAGTGCTGCGTGTTTTTGTATCTGTTTTCTTGTTTATTTTGCTTTACGCATAGTTTGTGTATTGCTCGCCTCTGTTTTATTGTTGAGGCCGTTTACTGTATTTTGCCTATTGGTTTCTCAGTAAACTTTGTTGGACTAGCTTCGGTGTCCTGCGCCTGACTTCCACACTTCACACACCTCAGCCCTTGACAGAACAACACACCATGATGGAGTCAGCAGGAGCAGTGGCGGCACCCAAGTCGCTGGAGGATCGGATCAGCGACCAAGACACCATGATCCGGCAACTTGGGGCCGCCATGAACGAGGTGTCCAACACTCTGCGCCGGTTGGTGACTGGAGAGGTGCCCACGCCTTCTCACACCATCCCATCACCAACGGCCAGTCCTCCTCTCTCAGCACCGGAACCCAGCGGCATTCGGCTCTCGCTCCCGAGGGCATATGACGGTTCTGCAGCCGGGTGTCAGGGGTTCCTCCTGCAAGTGGAACTCTACCTGGCTACCATACACCCAGCGCCCTCGGGATACGAGAGCGTCTCCGCCCTCATCTCCTGTCTATCCGGCAAGGCGTTGGAGTGGGCCAACGCCGAATGGAGGGGAATAGACGCCGCTACCATCACCTACGCGGAGTTCTCCCGCCGCTTCAGGGTAGTCTTCGATCACCCACCTGAGGGGAAGGCGGCGGGGGAGCGTCTGTTCCACCTCCGACAGGAGAAGAGGAGCGCACAGGAGTTCGCCCTGGAGTTCCGGACTCTAGCGGCGGATGCGGGGTGGAATGAGAGGGCCCTCATCGACCATTACCGGTGTAGCCTACGAGAGGACGTTCGTCGTGAGCTGGCCTGCAGGGACACCAACCTATCTTTCGACCAGTTGGTGGACATCTCCATCCGTCTTGACACCCTGCTGGCTACCCGCGGACGTCCCGAGTGGGGGTCGTCCATTCCACCCTCCAGCACCTCCGAGCCGGTTCCCATGGAGCTCGGGGGTGCTGGCGCATCCGGATCCCTCTTTGCCATTCCAAGTAGAGGTAGACGCGTCCGAGACCGGTATTGGGGCAGTCCTGTCACAACGGTCCGGCACGCCACCTAAGCTCCGCCCCTGTGTGTTCTACTCCAAGAAGCTCAGCTCGGCGGAGCGCAATTATGACGTTGGGGACAGGGAGCTGTTAGCTGTAGTCCAGGCCCTAAAGGTGTGGAGGCATTGGCTTGAGGGGGCTCAACACCCTTTCCTCATTCTGACTGATCACCGTAACCTGGAGTATATCCGGGCAGCTAGGAGATTGAACCCTCGTCAGGCTAGGTGGAACATGTTCCTGACCCGGTTTGTTTTTAAGATCACATACATCCCAGGGTCCCAGAACGGTAAGGCAGACGCCCTGTCCCGGCGGTATGACACAGAGGAGAGGTCCATTGAGCCTACTTCCATACTGCCGTAGTCTTGTCTGGTGGCTCCGGTGGTATGGGAGGTCGATGCGGAAATCGAGCGGGCACTGCGTACCGACCCTACTCCCCCCGAGTGTCCTGTGGGGCGGACGTACGTTCCGCTCGAGGTTCGTGATCGTCTTATTTATTGGGCTCATACATCACCCTCCTCTGGACATCCAGGTATTGGCCGGACAGTGCACTGCCTTAGCGTGAAATACTGGTGGCCAACGTTAGCTAAGGATGTGAGGGTTTATGTCTCCTCCTGCTCGGTGTGCGCCCAGTGTAAGGCGCCTAGACATTTGCCCAGGGGTAAGTTACATCCCCTGCCCGTTCCACAACGACCATGGTCCCACCTCTCGGTGGATTTTGTGACCGACCTACCCCCTTCCCAGGGGAATACCACCATTTTGGTCGTTGTGGATCGGTTTTTCCAAGGCCTGTCGTCTCCTCCCACTGCCGGGTCTCCCTACTGCCCTACAGACCGCCGAGGCCCTATTTACCCACGTGTTCCGGCACTATGGGGTCCCCGAGGATATTGTGTCTGACCGAGGGCCCCAGTTCACCTCCAGAGTCTGGGGGGCGTTCATGGAACGCTTGGGGGTCTCGGTGAGCCTTACCTCGGGGTACCACCCAGAGAGCAATGGGCAGGTTGAACGAGTCAACCAGGATGTGGGTAGGTTTCTGAGGTCCTATTGCCGGGACCGGCCGGAGGAGTGGTCGAGGTATATCCCCTGGGCAGAGATGGCCCAGAACTCTCTCCGCCACTCCTCCACCAATTTAACGCCTTTCCAGTGTGTTTTAGGGTATCAGCCGGTCCTGGCACCGTGGCACGAGAGCCAGATCGAGGCCCCTGCGGTGGACAAGTGGATTCGGCGCTCGGAGGAGACGTGGGACGCTGCCCATGTCCATCTGCAGCGGGCCATCCGTCAACAAAAGGCGAGCGCCGATCGCCACCGCAGTGAGGGACCGGTGTACGCACCGGGAGATCGAGTCTGGCTCTCGACTCGAAACCTGCCCCTCCGCCTGCCCTGCCGGAAGCTGGGTCGGCGGTTTGTGGGGCCCTTTAAAGTCCTGAGAAGATTGAACGAGGTGTGTTACAGGTTACAACTGCCTATTGAGTACAAGAATATTAACCCCTCGTTCCATGTGTCTCTTCTCAGGCCGGTGGTAGCTGGCCCACTCCAAGAGGATGAGATAGGAGAGACCCCTCCGCCCCCTTTGGACATCGAGGGGGCCCCGGCGTACAGAGTCCGGACCATCTTGGACTCGAGGCGCCGGATGAGTGGTCTCCAGTATCTCGTGGAGTGGGAGGGGTACGGTCCGGAGGAACGGTGCTGGGTGCCTAGGAGGGACATCCTGGATCCATCCCTCCTGACTGAGTTCCACCGTGGGCATCCCACGCGCCCGGGTCCGCGTCCTCCTGGCCGTCCTCGAGGCCGGGGTCGGCGCACGGCTGGAGCCGCGCGTCAAGGGGGGGGGGTACTGTCACGGTTTCGGCCGAGACTGCTCCTCCTCCTGGTTCGGGCAGGCTTCGGCGTTCGCCGTCCCCGGAGTACTAGCTGCCACCGTTGAATGTTTCGTGGGGTGATTGCTTTGGTCTGTCTTGTACACCTGTGTCTGTTTGTGTTCTGATTACGTGTCCTATAAGTTCCCTGTTTTGTATTGGTTAGATTGTGTGTTGTTTTCGCCTGTCTTTAGTGCTGCGTGTTTTTGTATCTGTTTTCTTGTTTATTTTGCTTTACGCATAGTTTGCGTATTGCTCGCCTCTGTTTTATTGTTGAGGCCGTTTACTGTATTTTGCCTATTGGTTTCTCAGTAAACTTTGTTGGACTAGCTTCGGTGTCCTGCGCCTGACTTCCACACTTCACACACCTCAGCCCTTGACACCATTGGAACTATTTGAAAGTATTTTTTCCAATAATTTCCTATAAATAGCCTACTTATTTCCAAATATAAAAAAATAAATAGCAAACAGACCTGGGTTATAATGCATGGTAGTATTTAAACATTATCTGTGTATTTGAGTATTATTGGAGGGGATTTCTCTATTTTCCAAATACATTCCAAAACTCAACTACTTGTTTTCAATTAAAAATATAAAAATACTTACTTCTAAATATCTTAATTCCTCTGCACCTGAAATCATGATAATATTAGGTGAAAATGTATATAAAAGCAATAATTAGAATGTACTCATTTGTAACTATGTCTTTTAATATGTTAATTTTTTTAATCAACATTTCTGGTTTCTTATTTCTTCTTAGAAATGCCTATTGGGAGGAGGTCAGAGACCTGGCTGTGTGGTGCCAGGATAACAACCTCTCCCTCAACGTGATCAAGACAAAGGAGATGATTGTGGACTACAGGGAAAAAAAAGAGGACTGAGCACGCCCCCATTCTCATCGACAGGGCTGTAGTGGAGCTTCAAGTTCCTTGGTGTCCACATCACCAACAAACTATAATGGTCCAAACACACCAAGACAGTCGTGAAGCGGGCACGACAAAGCCTATTCCTCCTCAGAAGACTGAAAAGATTTGGCATGGGTCCTCAGATCCTCAAAAGGTTAGACAGCTGCACCATTGAGCGCATTCTGACTGGTTGCATCACCGCCTGGTATGGCAACTGCTCGGCCTCCGACCGCAAGGCACTATAGAGGGTAGTGCGTACGGCCCAGTACATCACTGGGGCCAAGCTTCCTGCCTTCCAGGACCTCTATACCAGGCGGTGTCAGAGGAAGGCCCTAAAAATTGTGAAAGACTCCAGCCACCCTAGTCATAGACTGTTCTCTCTGCTACTGCACGGCAAGCGGTACCGGAGCGCCAAGTCTAGGTCCAAAAGGCTTCTTAACAGCTTCTACCCCCAAGCCATAAGACTCCTGAACAGCTAATCATGGCTACATGCATAGTCACTTTAACTCTACCCACATATTACCTCAATTACCTCAACTAACCGGTGCCCCCGCACATTGACTCTGTACCGGTACCCCCTGTATATAGCCTCCCTAACGTTATTTTATTTTACTGCTGCTCTTTAAGCTCTATTTTTTACTTAACACTTTTTTTCTTAAAACTGCATTGTTGGTTAAGGGCTTGTAAGTAAGCATTTCACTGTAAGGTGTACACCTGTGGTATTCGGCGCAGGTGGCAAATACAATTTGATTTGATTTAAGGTGAGTACACTGGGTAGTAGGGAGGTTAGTAGGGAGGTTGGTAGGGAGGTTGGTAGGGAGGTTGGTAGGTAGGGAGGTTAGTAGGGAGGTTAGTAGGGAGGTTGGTAGGGAGGTTAGTAGGGAGGTTGGTAGGGAGGTTAGTAGGGAGGTTGGTAGGGAGGTTGGTAGGGAGGTTAGTAGGGAGGTTAATAGGGAGGTTGGTAGGGAGGTTGGTAGGGAGGTTAGTAGGGAGGTTGGTAGGGAGGTTGGTTGGTAGGGAGGTTGGTTCTTTTAAAGAAAAGCAACATTTGGAACATTAATTGGGTGCTTTCATCCAAATGTTTGAAAAGCCTTTCTTTTGTTCACTGTCTATGTCTGCCACTCAGTCCCACTTAAGAGCTGCATTTTCATTTCTCTCAAAGACATTGTCAATGAAATGATTCACCTATTTTCAATCAGCGTTTAACGGTAATTGCATTTTGATTTAGGGCAATTAATCCCCATTTAAGGTTATTTGCATTAATTTGAAATATTAATGGGTTCTTTTGGAAGAGTGGAGAGATGAGGATTTGGCCACCGAGGACCCTCTCCTCCCCCCTCTGCTCCCCTCCAGGCATATCCAGTCCCATTACCCAGGGTGCCCTGCAACAAAGGAAGGGCGTAAATTAAAAAAAGGAGTTCTCTCTGTTGGATTCTCTATTGAATATAGAAATTGAATCATAGAAAGTGAGGTAGTGATAATAGAATTGTGTTGGGCAGACACAGTAGTCTATCTGAACAGGCCTACCAACTTGGCTACAAAATAGAGGGGGAGAGGGGATAAAGGGATGAGGGGTGTGTAGGGATGCGGATATGAGAGGGGTAAGGGGATGAGGGGGTGTCCGATAAGCATGAGAGGCGGTAATACATACGAGTGATGTGGAAAGGGTTTCAGGCCAGGCCTTTGCTTGTTGTACTCTCTGATTCAGTGCCCGCCACGGTGTGTCAGACGTCACAGAAGAGATTGTTTTGACACCCCGTTAAGAAATTCAGGAGGAGGACGGCTGGCTCATAAAATTTGCAGCCCCTGATTGAATTTATCATATTTTCATAGAGACCATAAACTCTGTCTGCCTGCCAGGCCAGAGTGGCTGACAGAGACGAGAGAGGGGGGACAGGGGAGAGGGGGAGGGGACATTTTTCTCTGCTTCCCTCCATCCCTCACAAATCTGTTCCCTCCTCTACTTCTCAGCCCCTATGAGTCTGATTCCTCTGGAGGTTTTTTCCTTCTAGAGAGTTTTTGCTTGCCACTGTGCTGCTGCTTCTGCCACTACAATTAATGTTTTCTATCTTTCTGCCAGTTTGAACTTAAAACGCAGTGAAGTATAATTTCTGACCCTTATGTCTGCAGGACTCTCTCTCTCTCCATCCCTCCTCCTCTCCCCCCTATTCTCTGTCTCACCTCCGTCCTTACCTCTCACCCGAGAGTGCCTTTGTCTGTGAATCCTAATGGGTGCTCTCTATGTAAATAATATATTAAATAATACATTTCTAATGTCCCTCTCAGATCTGCCTCTCTCTCTCTACCCTACCATCTTATATTAGTTTGCAAGCTTCGCCTCGCCGCCTCAAACACTCTGACTTAAATATTTAACCAGCTGAGAAACTCATATCACGTCCCTTTTCTTGGGTGCAAACACCATAATTCACACTGTGAAACTGAGAGAGGAACAGGAGGAGGGGGAGGAAGGGGAGGAAATGAAATATTTAGAGATGCACAATCCTTTCAATTATGTTCCTGATGCTTTAATGAAAAAACAGAACAACAATGAAATGAGCAACAGCATTTTGAAGTAGTGTAGCTGAGGAGTTTCTAACAGCAATACAATATAACGTTGTCAATTATTCACACTACACCCGTCTCCCCCAGTCAGATGCATTATACATTTATGTTTCATTATATTCTGGGAATTTAAATACAGTCTTTTTGCATGTCATTTGTTTTCCCCTTAGCCTTGCAATTAAAGAGTTCAAAAAAGTGATATAGTATTGTGCGGATCAGTTATTGGCCGTTTTGGAGCAGTGCCCAGTGCAAGAGGAGTTTTCACACGCACACACGCACACACACACACACACACACACACACACACACACACACACCAAGCCTCCAGTTACTGTACCCTGGCTGGCTCTTGGGGGGTGAAACAGTGAGCCAGGTCTTTGTAGCTCCCCCTCACAAGTGCACATCATCTGCTTCCCAATAGATTGGTTCCCATCAATGTTTAACAGACACTTAAAATATGTTTCCTTACTCATCTGTAATTTAAGCAGCTTTCTGAAGCGCTGTACCCTGTCCCTGTATCAGCCACCAACACGATCACTTTTTGTTGCTGCCTTTCATCGTGCTCTATCATTTAGTGAGAGAACAAATAGAGAGCCCTCTCTCTCTTCTTCTCTTTCTCTCTCTTCTTCTTGTTCTCTTTTATATCTGGCTCCTTGGGTCTGTCGGTGTAACCAACACAAGGGCTCAGTTTCACCACGGTAAATCCACCACATGAGATGGATCTCTCTCTCATCCTCGCCAAGCAGAGAGAGAGCTTAGACAGAGGCGAAGAGATGATAGCTTCGATCTCGAGAGAGCGATACAGCGAGCGAGATAGCGATCCCAGCGAGTCTATAGGCATCTCTGCTTCTCGGTGCTCTTCTCATACTCCTCATCTCTCTCTCTCTCTCTCTCTATCTCTCTCTCTATCTCTCTCTCTCTCTCTCTCTCCTCTCTCTCTCTCTCTCTCTCTCTTCTCTGGTGTCCAGTTGTCCCCCCTGCTGATGTTGTATGGACAGTGTGTGTCAGTGAATTGTTTGTTTTGGTGTGTGTCAATGGTGGGACTGGTTTGCCACCAACCTGTTATCAATCTAAAGATGGGGCCAGCAGGCAGGCCAGGTCACCATAGCAACCAACTCCTCTATCACTTATCACAGAGGAAAGTGGGAAGAGAGAGAAAGAAGAGAGATAGCATAGGCTAGAGACCGAAGTTAAGAGAGAGAAAGACAGGGGAGAGAATGTGTAGGCATGTCTGAGTAGGCATAGCTGCATGTGTTCATATTGTGGGTGCTGTCTATGTTTCTGTCTGTGGGAGTGCAGGGGGTAAGGGGCAGGGGTAGGGGGTAGAGGGGGAGTCAGAGGCAGGGAGGGGTGAAGAGTTGGAAGGAAGAGGGGCTAGAGAAAATATGTTTAAAACATTAACTGCATGCAGAATTGATGATGACGCGTGGCTGGTGTGACAATGGATGGCTTATGAGGCCATAATAGGTCCAAACACACGCACGCACGCGCACACACACACACACACACACACACACACAGACACACGCACACACACACTAGGCCTGGGGCCTTGCTCTTGGGCCCCTTTGCTGGAATGGACAAATCTTCCCTCTGATTTATGGAAATGCAGATGGGGCTTTTATTATGCCCCAACCCCTCCCTTCACACACACACACACACACACACATGCACGAACGCACACACGCAATCACACACACCTCGATGCAATGGCAGATCTGTAGTGAGGAGAGAGAAGGACAAAGGAGGGTCAAATACTGTATAAAATGTGTCGACTCTGCAGGGGAAATGGTAATTAAATTATGAAACGTGTGTGTGTGTGTGGGTGTCGAGGCCTATTGCGGAGAAACAAAGAGAGTGTGAATGCCTCAGTCTTGACAGACACATGCTGGAATTGTATAATGAGGCATTAGTAACATACACATCATGCAGACAATGATAACAAAGGGATTCCTACTTAATTGAATGAATAAACATTACATTACATCACAAACATTATGATGGACTTGACAATGTTAGTTTTTACAATGGTCGTTAATACGGTAATGCAATGGTAATAGTAAGTGAGTGTGATTGTGTGTGTGTGTGTGTTCGTGGGGGGGAGGACTGTTGCAACACCCTCTCTGCACACTGAGATGAAGACCATCAGTATCATGCTGGGTCCACATACAGCACCATGTGGAACCTTGTGTGTGTGTGTGTGTGTGTGTGTGTGTGTGTGTGTGTGTGTGTGTGTGTGTGTGTGTGTGTGCAATGAGTAAGTGTGTTTTTATGCATTGCTGGCTGCACTGCATATTTTGCCACAAATCTCAAAATGCAAATGTATGAACGCATCCAACAAGACCAGAGTGGAAAATGAAATGAAAGATTCTGCCAAGTGAGCTCCTTGACGCAGATAAGAGAGGTGTGTGCGTGTGTTTGTGTGTGAGGTGTGAGAATTATGAAATGTGTTCAGTATGAATATATTTACATATTATGGTAAATCCTCAAGGTAGGAAAACGAATTCACCTCAGAATTCACAGTGAAACAGCTCATATCTGAACTGAAGTAAAACCTCTTTGCCAAGAAGACCCCCTCCCCTCTGTTTGTAAGTACAGGATGCTCTTTCATGAAAAAGTGTTTTCACAACACTCAAACACCAATTTAGATTGAGGAACGTTTTGGATGTTTCGTAGTACTTCATAACACATTTTGGCGGTGTCAGAGGTGGAACAGCGTTAGAGCTGTTAAATCCACAAGCGACTCCTTGCGTTAACTTATCGCGGACACTGCCATTGGATGCAACGAAACCCTCAGACTCTACTCCGACAAAACCCATGCAGCGTTACAAGTTCAAACAATGCGTGATGTGCTCAATTAGACTGATATAGGCTATAAATCCCACCATACAAATTAACATGAAAACATGCATTAGCCTACACTTTCTAACGCCGTTTTGAACTTCTGACACGGTAGGGATACTAAGGAATGGAGTGGTTTGTGACACACAAGAGCAGCCGCTCACAGATATGTCAGTTTATACCGCATTTACACCTACAACACGCCAAAACATCTACTATGCAGATGTCTGCCAACGCGGATCAAAGCTCGATCTGATTGAATCGAGGCCTAACATTGGGCTTACATTCAAACCCCCTCCAAACACCAGATCTCAGCTTAGGCGCACAACTTTTCATGGTTTCATTAGGCAATGGTGGTGTTTTGACTCTCTATTTTACCAGTGCAGGATGGGGAAAGATAGAGGGAGGAGGAAAGAGAAAAAGATGGAGGGAGAGAGAGGAGGAGAGCATGATAGAAGCATCCTGAGAGATTCACATCATGTTCAGTAATCGAGGAAAAGAGAGGAGGGGGAGAAGAGGAGAGCGTATGCTTGAATGGATTCTTTCTCTCAACTCGGCTGAATGGTCCCTGCTTCGGAGCCGCAAACGCAAACACACACACTCACACACAGCCCACTGTTCCCGTGGCGACCACGCTGTCAGCCTCTAAACACTCTTCGCTCCCTACTTTTCTGTTCCTCCTTCTCTTCCTCCCTCCATAGCACTGGCCTTTCTTTTTTCTTCTACTAATCTCTCTCTTACTGAACTTCTTCTCCCGCCCTCCCTTCTTTCCATCTTTATTTCTTTTTCCATCTCTTTTCCTCTCCTTCCCTCTCCTCTCCAGGGAGTGTTATATCCCCCTGTCCTCAGCACCCTTCCTTGCCTCCATCCTTCTATCTCTTTAACTCTCTCCTATCCCCCTCTCTCCCGCCCTCTACTGCTCCTCTGCTTCCCCTCCCTCCCTCCCTCTCTCTCTCCCTTCTTTCTTGAGAGTAGTGTTTAGTGATTAATGTGAGTTTTAATTGTCGTGCTCACTTTTATGCTCATTAGAGTGTATTATGCAGCAGTTAGGGTATTAAAGTTCAGCCTGAGATTTCATGCATACTGATGAGGATGCAAATGAGCCCGGCATGAAAGGAAGGATCTCTGGATGTGTGTGTGTGTGTGCGTGCATGTGTGTGTGTGTGTGTGTGTGATCCCCTGGAGCCAGCAGCAGTGTTGTCCAATATTTCCCCCAGTAGCCGTCTTAGCCGCTGCGTAAGAGAGGTCTGGCTATAGAAATCATGTAACAGTTTTTTTCAATCGCTTTGGTGCAATTTTCATAAGTACTGTGTGTGGTACATTTTCACAACTCTTAGTATAAAACTCAAATCCGATCATCAAAAAGGCAGTTGTTGCAAAACACTTAGCTAATTTTCAATTGACTAAGTACAACACACAAAATCATAGTCACTTTTTAATCTAGAAATACATATTTTACATTGCAATACATATTCATATAAAGTAATTGCCTTTCACAATGCAATGCTCACATTACTTTTGATATGATTTGTTAAAAATACATTTTACTATTACTTAATCTGACTGCTCTTAATTGATCATCGCTAAACCATTTGGTAAACCTATAGATTTTAATCTGGTTTGTCTAGTACAGATTTTGAGAACTTCATAATGAAAATGTATGTATGTAAAATAGAAAGCATGATATATACTGTAATGTACTATTAGGATGATGACTATTATGACTTTACTTTACAGTAAATGTAAAACAAATCTGGTATTGACAAGATCAGAGATGTACTGTATGTAACAAATACATCCCCTAAACAGTAAACATGTATCCAAAATGAAGTTGCTGGGATGCGGTTCACACTACATTACAAAAATTGCATTGGCCAATACAATACTGTAATACCGTAATATATGCCATTTATGTAACAGATACTTTTTATCCAAAGTGACAACAGTGAGTCCACACATTTTCGTTTGTGACTCCTATGGGAATCGAACCCAAAACTCTGGCTTTGCTACTGCAAATACGAACTGAGTCACGTTCAGGACCACTACAATACATAAGTACAATACAATACAGTAAAATACAATACACAATGATTACAATACAGGTGGAAGATTTATGATTGTCATCCCCATGAGCATACCACTCTCCTCCAGGCCATGGATGAGGCATGCAATGACATGAATCCAGACCTACTGTATGTCAGGCTTGGATTCGCCATGCACAAAGGTTTTTCCCCAGGTGTGTGAACGATGAGGACATTTACTGTGATGTTGATGAGAACCTATGGCCAAATGCTCAAGACAGGCAAACTAGTGCCTGCTAAACTTTGTTTCTTTAATTTATTTAATTAGTTTCATTTGATTACAGTACACCTATGTTGTAATTATATCTGAACAATACATTTATTTTTTGCATCAATGATTGTGAAAGAGGTCTTCAATGATCAAACCTTTGATCACAATGGCATAGAAATTATGGACATTTGATGTTCAGTCAATTTTAATGGGTAGGTCAAGTGTATTGCCTAATGTCAAAACAGTATAATGTACTGTAATTTACAGTACTGTAGCATATTACATTCAAAGGGCAATTTTCAATCATCGAGCGCTTGGGACTATAAGGTTCTGTCTGCAAAAAGATGATTCTGAAATAATTGGCTTTAAAGTTCTGAACCCTTATTGATTTGAATGGTGTCAGCAATTTTTGATCTTGCATTCTTTTGAACTTAACAACATGAATTTTGATAATTTTGAGTACTATATATGTAGAGAACATTGAACAGAACAGGGCTATGGGGGCGGCAGGTAGCTTAGTGGTTAAGAGCGTTGTGCCAGTAACCGAAAGGTCGCTGGTTCTAATCCCCGAGCCAACTAGGTGAAAAATCTGTCGATGTGCCCTTGAGCAAGGCACTTAACCCTAATTGCTCATGTAAGTCGCTCTGGATAAGAGCGTCTGCTAAATGACTAAAATGTAAATGTAAATGTCAATAACTCAATTTCGACAAAAATGCTGATAGAACCTTATAGTCCAAAACTCTCTACATGTGTCTTACATTTTTTGCTATTGGGTTAACTGGTTGTTAAAATAACTCAATTGAAAATATATTATTATGTTGTGTTTTGGTGATTAAATCAATGATCTCATGATATTTCACTGTAAACTTATAGTTTTTATCAATGGTTGTATGGTGAAAGATGTTTTCAAACTAAATAAATGCACAATAAAACGCTATGAATATGAGACTTGCTCCCTTTACAAGTGTTTGGAGTTTTATACTAAGAGTTTTAAAAATTCCCCACATACAGTGGCCTGCGAAAGTATTCACCCCCCTTGGAATTTTTCCTATTTTGTTGCCTTACAACCTGGAATTCAAATTGATTTTTGGGGGGTTTGTATCATTTGATTTACACAACATGCCAAACCACTTTGAAAATGCAAAATATTTTTTATTGTGAAACAAACAAGAAATAAGACAAAAAAACAGAAAACTATGTAGTCAATACTTTGTAGAGCCACCTTTTGCAGCAATTACAGCTGCAAGTCTCTTGGGGTATGTCTCTATAAGCTTGGCACAACTAGCCACTGGGATTTTTGCCCATTCTTCTAGGCAAAACTGCTCCAGCTCCTTCAAGTTGGATGGGTTCCGCTGGTGTACAGCAATCACAGATACCACAGATTCTCAATTGGATTGAGGTCTGGGCTTTGACTAGGCCATTCCAAGACATTTAAATGTTTCTCCTTAAACCACTCAAGTGTTGCTTTAGCAGTATGCTTAGGGTCATTGTCCTGCTAGAAGGTGAACCTCCGTCCCAGTCTCAAATCTCTGGAAGACTAAAACAGGTTTCCCTCAAGAATTTCCCTGTATTTAGCGCCATCCATCATTCCTTCAATTCTGAGCAGTTTCCCAGTCCCTGCCGATGAAAAACATCCCCACAGCATGATGGTGTTCTCGGGGTGATGAGAGGTGTTGGGTTTGCGCCAGACTTAGCGTTTTCCTTGATGGCCAAAAAGTACCTTCTTCCATATGTTTGGGGAGTCTCCCACATGCCTTTTGGCGAACACCAAACGTGTTTGCTAATTTTTTTCTTTAAGGAATGCCTTTTTGTTCTGGCCACTCTTCCGTAAAGCCCAGCTCTGTGGAGTGTACGGCTTAAAGTGGTATTATGGACAGATACTCCAATCTCCGCTGTGGAGCTTTGCAGCTCCTTCAGGGTTATCTTTGGTCTCTTTGTTGCCTCTCTGATTAATGCCCTCCTTGCCTGGTCTGTGAGTTTTGGTGGGCGGCCCTCTCTTGGCAGGTTTGTTGTGGTGCCATATTCTTTCAATGTTTTAATAATGGATTTAATGGTGCTCCGTGGGATGTTCAAAGTTTCTGATATTTTTTTTTATAACCAAACCCTGATCTGTACTTCTCCACAACTTTGTCCCTAACCTGTTTGGAGAGCTCCTTGGACTTCATGGTGCCGCTTGCTTGGTGGTGCCCCTTGCTTAGTGGTGTTGCAGACTCTGGGGCCTTTCAGAACAGGTGTATTTATACTGAGATCTTGTGACAGATCATGTGACACTTAGATTGCACACAGGTGGACTTTATTTAACTAATTATGTGACTTCTGAAGGTCATTAGTTGCACCAGATCTTATTTAGGGGCTTCATAGCAAAGGGGGTGAATACATATGCACGCACCACTTTTCCGTTATTTAATTTATATAGTTTTTTGAAACAAGTTATTTTTTTTATTTCACTTCACCAATTTTGACTATTTTGTGTATGTCCATTACATGACATCCAAATAAAAATCAATTTAGATTACAGGTTGTAATGCAACAAAATAGGAAAAACGTCAAGGGGGATGAATACTTTTGCAAGGCACTGTACTTGAGAGAATAGCACCAAAGTGATTGAAAGAAACCTGTTATGTAGCTTTGAGAGGATCCTTTATGACTGAATAAGCTTAAAATACTGATATGCTCTTTGGAAAATACTGTATGTCCTTATTCAATAAGGGGCAACAGTGTCGGGTAGGAATAGGAATCTACCTACAATGAAGTCAGTCAAGATGGCGTAGCAGTGTGGTCATGAATTGTGTTGTGTCCTCGTGTAAATAGCCTGTTTTTTTTGTTTTTTGTCTTTTTTTCGTATATATTTCTCTATCTCACTTCCCATCCTTTACCCAAATATACTTTCCTGCAACCTGCCTCACCCAATGTGGAACGGAATTGTATTATTTCTTTATTTTTATCAAGAACCTACGGCTGAAACTAGCCAGCTAACTATCTACTTTCTATTAGCCACCGTTAGCGGTCTTCACCACTGTCCGTGGCCTGCACTACCTACCAGCCAGCTCTAGCCTGGACAATTATCGGCCTGCACAGCATGCTATCGACACAGAGCATATCGGATTTTCTGCCGGAATCACTGACTCACTGGACCTTAACACCGGATCATCGCAACTAGCTAGCTGCAACCGAATGGCTGTTGTTGGCTAATTCACCACTGTCCCGATGCACCAGTTAGCCTTGAGCTAGCCTCGAGCCAGGCCCATCTCCCGGCTATCTACCTCTCTGTCAACCGGACGGGACCTCCTAGTGTCGACACGGAGCCCCGCCGATCCATCACGACTGGTCTGCCGACGTAATCGTCTGATGTGGTTTCAACAAGCTTCCCGTTGCGACGACCACGAAGATCCATCTGCTAGCCCCGGCCCGCTAGCACGCGCAATAAACAGCCGTACCTCCTGCTCGCCTGTGCTGTAGCAGCCTACAAACTGCTCCCGGACTTAGCTATTTCTGTTCACTGGACCTTATGATCACTCAGCTACACAGCTGATGCCTGCTGGACTGTCCCTTTACACGGTACCCTATCCTGTTTATCTGTTTAGCCTCAGCCCAAACTTTCGTCGCCTTTACCAGTTGTTGTCTTAGCCCTCTCGAATAACACCTGTGATTGCGTTATGTCTCTCTCCCATGTCAATATGCCTAGCATATTGCTGTTTGGGCTAGTTCTTATTGTACTATTTCACTGTAGAACCTCCGTCCCGCTCAACCAGCCTCGGAGAGCTCCTTTGTCCCACCCCCATACACGCGGAGACTGGCTCAATCGGTACCTCCAGTGATGCTACCTCTTTCATCGTTACCCAATGCTTAGGTGTACCTCCACTGTACTCATATCCTTCCATATCCTTGTCTGTAAATAATGCCCTGAATCTATTCTACAACGCCCGGAAATCTGCCCCTTTTATTCTCTGTACCCAACGCACTAGAAGACCAGTTCTTAAAGCCTTTAGCCGTATCCTTATTATATTCCTCCTCTGTTCCTCTGGTGATGTAGAGGTTAACCCAGGCCCTGTCGCCCCCAGTATCACTCCTACTCCCCAGGCACTACCATTTGTTTACTTCTGTAACCGTAAAAGCCTTGGATTCTTGCATGTCAACATCAGAAGCCACCTCCCCAAGTTTGAGTTATTCACTGCGTTAGCACACTCTGCCAACCCTGATGTTCTAGCAGTGTCTGAATCCTGGCTTAAGAAGGCCACCAAAAAGTCTGAAATGTCCCTCCCAAATTACAACATTTTCCGTCTAGATAGAACTGCCAAAGGGGGCGGAGTTGCAATCTACTGTAGAAATAGCCTGCAGAGCTCTATCATACTATCCAGGTCTGTGCCCAAACAGTTTGAGCTTCTACTTCTAAAAATCCACCTTTCCAGAAATAAGTCTCTCACTGTTGCCACTTGCTACAGACCCTCCTCAGCCCCCAGCTGTGCCCTGGACACCATATGTGAATTGCTTTCCCCCCCCATGTTTCCTCTGAGTTCGTCCTACAATCTAAACTAGATGCCCTCAATCTCACACAAATTATCAAGGAACCTACCAGGTACAACCCTAAATCCGTAAACATGGGGACCCTCATAGATATCATCCTGACTAATTTACCCTCTAAATACACCTCTGCTGTCTTCAACCAGGATCTCAGCGATCATTGCCTCATTGCCTGCGTCCGTAATGGGTCCGCGGTCAAACGACCACCCCTCATCACTGTCAAACGCTCCCTAAAACACTTCAGCGAGCAGGCCTTTCTAATTGACCTGGCCCGGGTATCCTGGATGGATATTGACCTCATTCCGTCAGTAGAGGATGCCTGGATGTTTTTCAAAAGTGCTTTCCTCTCCATCTTAAATAAGCATGCCCATTCAAAAAATTCAGAACTAAGAACAGACATAGCCCCTGGTTCACCCCAGACTGCCCTTGACCAGCACAAAAACATCCTGTGGCGTACTGCATTAGCATCGAACAGCCCCCACGATATGCAACTTTTCAGGGAAGTCAGGAACTAATATACACAATCAGTTAGGAAAGCAAAGGCTAGCTTTTTCAAACAGAAATTTGCATCCTGTAGCACTAACTCCAAAAGGTTTTGGGACACTGTAAAGTCCATGGAGAATAAGAGCACATCCTCCCAGCTACCCACTGCACTGAGGCTAGGAAACACTGTCACCACCGATAAATCTACGATAATCGAGAATTTCAAGAAGCATTTTGCTACGGCTGGCCATGCTTTCCACCTGGCTACCCCTACCCCGGCCACCAGCTCTGCACCCTCCGCTGCAACTTGCCCATGCCCCCTCCCGCTTCTCCTTCACCCAAATTCAGATAGCTAATGTCCCGAAAAAGCTGCAAAATCTGGACCCCTACAAATCAGCTGGGCTAGACAATCTGGACCCCTTCTTTCTAAAATTAGCCGCCGAAATTGTCGCAACCCCTATTACTAGCCTGTTCAACCTCTCTTTCGTATCGTCTGAGATCCCCAGAGATTGGAAAGCTGCCGCGGTCATCTCCTCTTCAAAGGGGGTTCAGTGTCAAATCGGAGGGCCTGTTGTCTGGACTTCTGGCAGTCTCTATGGGGGTGCCACAGGGTTCAATTCTCGGGCCGACTCTATTCTCTGTGTATATCAATGATGTCGCTCTTGCTGCTGGTGACTCTCAGATCCACCTCTACGCAGACAACACCATTTTGTATACATCTGGCCCTTCATTGGACACTGTGTTAACAAACCTCCAAACGAGCTTCAATGCCATACAACACTCCTTCCATAGCCTCCAACTGCTCTTAAATGCTAGTAAAACTAAATGCATGCTCTTCAATCGAACGCTGCTTGCACCCGCCCGCCCGACTAGAATCACTACTCTCGGCGGATCTGACTTAGAATATGTGGACAACTACAAATACCTAGGTGTCTGGTTAGACCGTAAACTCTCCTTCCAGACTCACATTAAGCATCTCCAATCCAAAGTTACATCTAGAATCGGCTTCCTATTTTGCAACAAAGCCTCCTTCACTCATGCTGCCAAACATGCCCTTGTAAAACTGACTATCCTACCGATCCTTGACTTCGGTGATGTCATTTACAAAATAGCTTCCAACACTCTACTCAGCAAATTGGATGTAGTCTATCACAGTGCCATCCGTTTTGTCACCAAAGCCCCATATACTACCCACCATTGTGACCTGTACGCTCTCGTTGGCTGGCCCTCACTACATTTACATTTACATTTTAGTCATTTAGCAGACGCTCTTATCCAGAGCGCCTTACAGTTAGTGCATACATTATTACTTTTTTTTATCGAACCCACAACCCTGGCGTTGGAAACGCCATGCTCTACCAACTGAGCTACATCCCCTCCACTACATATTCGTCGCCAAACCCACTGGCTCCAGGTCATCTATAGATCTCTTCTACGCAAATACCCGCCTTATCTTAGCTCATTGGTCACCATAGCAACACCCACCCGTAGTATGCGTTCCAGCAGGTATATCTCACTGGTCATCCCCAAAGCCAACACCTCCTTTGGCCGCCATTCCTTCCAGTTCTCTGCTGCAAATGACTGGAACGAACTGCAAAAATCTCTGAAGCTGGAGACACTTATCTCCCTCACTAACTTTAAGCATCAGTTGTCAGAGCATTTTACCGATCACTGCACCTGTACACAGCCCATCTGTAATTAGCCCACCCAACTACCTCATCCCCATATTGTTATTTACATTATTATTTATTTTGTTCATTTGCACCCCAGTATCTCTATTTGCACATCATCTTCTGCACATCTATCACTCCAGTGTTAATACTAAATTGTAATTATTTTGCACTATGGCCTATTTATTGCCTTACCTCCATAACTTACTACATTTGCACACACTGTATATAGATTTTCTATTGTGTTATTGACTGTACGTTTTGTTTATTCCATATGTAACTCTGTGTTTGTTGTTTTTATCGCACTGCTTTGCTTTATCTTGGCCAGATTGCAGTTGTAAATGAGAACTTGTTCTCAACTGGCTTACCTGGTTAAATAAAGGTGAAATAAAATAAATAAAAAAGTCATAGACTAGAACTTGTATATATTTCGATTTTATGCAGTATTTCCAGATTCATGTCAGCCATGTTCTCATTGAAAGTGAGATTCTTGGAGAGAGAAAGAGAGGACAGGGCATGGTTTATTCAATGGGATTTCAGCCTGATGAAAAGATACAGGGTGGAAAAAATATGATAAGGACGACATTACCATAATTAGTTATTAAAATTCAAATTGAGACTGTACAATGACATGAAAATACCTAATCATATTTAAAACATGAACGGCTGTATTTCTGAGAAAACATGTGCGATATATGTGTATGTGTGCATTTATGATAAGGCGTATGTGTGTGTGTTTGCATGTGCCTGCGCGCACGTGCATTTATCTGTGTGTGTGTATCAGCGAATATTTCTCCCAAGCCCCCCGCTGCTCCTCCCATGCTGAGAGAATAGGCTCAGTCATCCCAGAGCTTGCCTGGCTGTGTCTGCCTGTCACTGCAGGGTGAGATGAGACAATGGGAAAATATTCAGACACCAGGCTCATATCACTCACCCAGCGTGGAGAAACTACTGTGTGCAAGCATTGGCAGACGGTAATGTAACTGTAAATGGATGTTAAGATATATGAGAGGAAAGTCATTAGATGTAACATAAGGATTTTTAAGGGTTTTATTGTAGCCGATGGTAGACGTATAAGAAAAAACTAAGCTGATAAGAGAAGAAACATACAAAGGTATACCAGATGTTTACCAACACCAACACAGCACAAGGCTAGCTCTGTGGACATTGATGATGATAATAACTACTGCATAAGCATCACTATGCACCATTTTGTGCCAGGTATATTAAATTATTTGAAGTAAGTACCAGCAGAGCTGAAATAAGACAGTAAAGTCAAAACAGAGAATCAAAATGGCCGATGACACAGAAAAGCCAGAGTAGGGACGGTAAACAAACATGGTCTAGTTAATGGCTGCCTGTCTCAGAATGAAGAAATCAAACACACTAAACTGATCAGAGGCATAGCTGCGGGAAGTAGGGGTGCTGAGGGTGCTGCAGCATCCCTTAAAAATACAATTAAAAAAAAAAAAAAGTAGTGTACTGGGCCTAGTATTAGCGCAATCTATCCAGAGAAACTTACAGTAGGGAGTGTATACATTTTCATACTGGTCTCCCGTGGGAATCGAACCCACAACCCTAGCATTGCAAGCGCCATGCTCTACCAACTGAGCCACATCATCACATCACATCATCACAAACATCATTCAGTTGCAATTAGTTACATCGTTTTTTTTGCCTGCCATACAGACGTCTATATCGAGGCAACTCAAGTTACAAATACTGGTAAACACTCAAATACATTTAGTTTACATCTTTTCACATAAGTAGTGCACTGGGCCATTACTAGTCATGTATCAGCAGATCAATATAGACGTCTTCAGCGTGGGCAATGTATATATATATTATATATATATTTTTTTTCAGCACCGCCACCCCCAAACTACTTCCCACGGCTATGATCAGAGGTATGCCAACACATCATTGGCCAGCTCAGAGGATGTTGCCAGCTGCGTCATTTAAATGCTTTCAGGACTTGTCAGATCAGATGGGTTTGTTTTGGCTGGAACTACTCGGATCCTTTGATCAATTATCCTGATTAGGGCAGCAGTAACCCATATGGTGGTGTTTATGAGGCCGAGTTGGACCCAAGCACACACATGCACACACACACTTTTTTAAATATCCAAAACCACACAAACATGCACGCACACACACACTATCCCCTTTTTAAAAATGTTTTTGCTGTATGGCTTTCACTTGGCTGACCCGTGTCACCAACACGCAAACAATTCAATACAACACAACTTTATTTCTCCCCTGAGGACAAAACAGAAGGACACTTCTGGGTTACCCTGGCTTTCTCCACACTCTATTGAGCCGTGAATCACACTGGGAGATGCCTTGGCATTTCTGCAGGTTAACCATGAGAAATGACCTCTTTTGCACCGTCGATTCCTGCCTGCCTTCAGGGGAGTAGAGGCAGGACAGGGCTGTCCGTTAAGGCCCAGTGACAGCAGCTGGGCTGGGGGACTTGGTCTGTCTTGTTCCTGTGTAATTACTCATCTCAATAAAGGGAGAAATGGTGACATGGGGATCTGTCCTTGTGTAACAACGCTGTGGATTGGATAATACTCTTAAAATAACAACAATTTTGAAAATAAACCATAGAGAATAAAATAAGATCCAAGATAGAGGGAGAAAAAGCTGAATTCTCCTGTCCTGATATGCACATTGGTCAATATACATTGTGAAACATACTGTAAATAACCTATAGATAGCGTAAATAAACCTGAAAAATAGACCTGTCTGAATCTGATGCACCGAATGACATTGCATTGATTGTCCAAAGATTACAACACTCCCTATTTCAGTTGCAATTAGTTACATCACATTTTCTAATCAATTAAACCTGGCTCCTGGCTGCAGGGTTTTACTGAAGACCACTGAGACTCCCACACCAGATTAGATTAACCCCGCTCTGCATCTCTCTCTCTCTCTCTCTCTCTCTCTACCTTTCCCTCTTTTCATGACTCTTTCTTTCTCTCTCTACCTTTCCATCTTTTCACGTGTCCCCTGTAGCTCAGTTGGTAGAGCATGGCGCTTGCAACGCCAGGGTTGTGGGTTCGTTTCCCAGTATGAAAATGTATGCACTCACTAACTGTAAGTCGCTATGGATAAGAGCGTCTGCTAAAATGTAAAAATGTCATGCCCTTCTCTCTCTCTCTGCACACACTCATTCTCTCTTTTTCCTTTCCCTCTCTCCCCCTCTTCACCTTTCCCTTTTCTTCATTTCCATACACTGATAACAGGCCAAAATATTTACTTTACAGGGTAATTACATAGGTGTATCCACTAATACTTTTGCTGGTATAAATCTAGTCAAGGGCCAAGTTCCAGTCTTTTCCCCCAGAAACATGTTTTATGGTTAAAGGAGGAGAGAAACCCCATCAGCTGTGCCATGATCCAAATATGGGACCGCACTCTGCAGACTCAAACTACACAGCTTTTATTTCCCAACTAGGAACGTCCCCTTCCAGCCTTCAGGCCTGCACCCAACATTCCTTTGGAACTGTAGTCTACGTCACAGAGGGCGTTTCTGTGTTCCAGTACGCCCGCCCCTCTCCACGAGGCCTACAGAGACGCCCGCCCCCTCTCCACGAGGCCTGGCCAACTGACAGTTACAATCACCGCCTTCACCCAACGGATTCACCCGCTTTAAACATCCCTTCACCCCCGTTTGTCGTGTTTTGCGGCCACGAATGCCTTCTCAGTCCGTCAATCACGAGGGAAATATCCATGTACCACAACCAATTTCACTACACCGCATGTAAATCCTGAAAGAAAAAACAACGTTTTCCCTGCTCCTCTCAGCTCCTCCTGTTCGAACCGTTGGCCTCACAAAGGATTTGCCGACGTTCGGGAATTCCGCATTTCATTCCTTTTTTTAGAACAGGATAGGCCCACCCCTTTCTTCATTTGTCAACACAAAGGAGATTTGACAACACTGTTAAAGGACCGCCCACCATGCCCAAATAAGGTCCATTTGCCCATACACGGCAAACAATCGATTCGAGTGTAACCTTTTCCCTTCCTTATCCCGTTTATATGGTAGGTTCACTTCCGCCGTTGATGTTAAAGCAGTGCTATCATGGCGGAGCGCGTTCAGCAGCCCCCAGCCAAACGGCTCTGCTGTAGACCGGGTTATAATACTAATTGTAGACAGGGACAACGGTCCGGGGGTACGTTATGTGGCGGTTCGGGTACGGCCCAAGGTGGGTCGAGCAAAACCCAGAATCCGGAGTCTCTGTTGGACATCTCTGCCCGGAAAGTGGCCGAGAAGTGGCCGTTTCAACGGGTAGAGGAGCGATTTGAACGGATCCCGGAGCCTGTACAGAGACGGATCGTTTACTGGTCGTTCCCGAGGAGTGAACGAGAGATCTGCATGTATTCTTCGTTCAATACAGGGGGAGAGGAGAGTGGAACTAGCGGGGAAAATAGTGATGAGACGCGGCTGCCTTTCAGACGAGGTATCGCTCTATTGGAGAGCGGCTGTGTGGACAACGTATTGCAAGTCGGTGAGTGTGAAAAATAACGTTATTTTATTTATTGACTTTTCATGGCCAACAACCAGCGTTTGAAAAATATTTTTTAAAAGCACCAAGAAATGAAAAAGGAAGTGTGTTGAATTAGGTTTGAACAAAGGTTTGAATGAGGCGACAAAGGGGGCTTTTAAATCGCCGAGACGTTGGCGAAATGTGTGTTGGCAAGGCTAATTTTTTACTAAAACCAAAATGTATTTCTCTAACAATAGAAATAGCTATTATTAGCCTATACACAGTTGTCTATGTTCTATGCCGATACATTTAGCCTAAATTTCTAAGTAGCATAATAAATGTTTGCTTATGCATGATGGGATTTTTTTGTTGTTGCTTTGGTGAAAGATAACCATTACGGAAGTACACGGTGGGATTTAATAAATGTGCCCATATACTTGGCTCGCATTCGAACATTTGGTTCATAAATGCATTTAGCCAGCCTCAAATAGTCTTTATATACTTTGAACTGAAAAAGGCGATGCTTTTCTGGGCAGTGAATGTGTCGAGAAGAGGTTCAGGGCTGAGCCTTGTCGACTGTGTTTATTTTCCGAAGTGAAAGGCATGGGGGAGGTTTTCTGGCTCAGCCAGCTAGAACACAGAGCTCTCAGCATAATTGACAGTTCTTTCTACATATATGCCAACCTATTTCATAACAATAAATATGTTTAGTAAAACAATAACACAGCAGTCTGTCGTGCATTCAAAGCATTTTCTATTTGAGTAGATGAGAAATAGCAGTATTTCATGTTTTCGGAACACAGCTTTTACTGAGTGTCGTATTTACCCAGTGCGCATATCAAACAGCCGTGAAGCATTCCGAATGAAAGCCTTGGTACTTCGTTCCCATTTTCATGTTCATTTGTGTCTTTTCAGGTTTCTGTCACCCTCCAAAGGGAAGGCAAACAACAAAAGCGCCTTTTAATTTATTTTCACTGCTTGTTAAAAAGAAGAGATTTGGGAAAGGGGTGGGAGGAATGACGATTTAAAGCCACAGAGACTATTTTTAAATGGACCTTGATATGCACCAATTTGCAGCTAATTGGGTCAAGTGTGCTTCTTTCCCAGTTCTTTTACAAAATGTTCTGACGCCAGGAAATTACTGACACACGTAATTGTAATAATCATCAGCAGGCCCTACCAAAACGTAGCCTATATACTCAAATGAACGCATGGCCATGTATTTAACCCCCTGCTGGACAGTGAGCTTCCTGCGGGGCTCTCTCTGTATTCCAACTCAAATGCTACCTTAGTTAGTTCATTAGGGCCCTCTGTCCCCGCCCAGGGAAAGCGTTCAGCGTTCTAATCCCATTACTCTGCGTGGTTAATCTGAATTGTAATGCAATCTGCAAACGTAATTTTCTGCATGGCCATCCATCCCTCCCTGTCCCCTCCTCCTCCCTCTGAACGTGTCGCAGTGACTTGGCTGGGCTTTGTGCCCTAGCCACAGTGCCAACAGGGCACCAGGCTGCTGACTATATAAAACATTATACTATAGGCCCAGGCAGGCCTGTGTCTTTGTCTGGTATATAGGCAAAGCACAGCTACAGTATATCCTCTGGTCTCTCTACTCATATTGGGGAAAGAAAGAGTAGGACATATATACAATAGAATGCAGTATATCATTTTTTTCATCCAAAACCACGTTAAGGAATATGATTTTGCCTGTCAATAATGTAATAATAATATGGTTGTTAAGCAGGCAGTTAACCTACACATATACTGTGTGTGTGTGTGTGTGTGCGTGTGTGTGAGCATGCACAAGATAGCACAGTGCTCAATCTGCATGCTAGCAATGGAGAATGACAGCAAAAATTGAGCCAAGAAGTGATAAATAAAAGATGCAATCTTCCCACACGGGCTGCAGCTAGGGAAGGAGAGAAGAAAAGACTGGGTCGCTGTGATCAGACCTGGGGGAGAAGATCAGTTACAGATCTATTTGGCACACATCCATATGTACAGTATAGTATACAGTAAACATCCTCTACACAGGAACCACACACACAGGTTAACTGCCTGCTTAACAACCATATTATTATTATTATTATTACATTATTGAAAGGCTAAATCATATTCCTTAACGTGGTTTTGGATGAAAAAATGACATACTGCATTCTATTGTATATATGTCTCTGCTAAACACCCTGACAGTCACTGGTAGGTGTCCCAGGCAGTATGGTTCATCCCAAGGCCATAGGAGAGGCTCTACCTATCTAGCCTGCTCAGGTCCTGCTGATTGGAAAGCTGCTTATCTGATAGCCAACCTATAGTAAACATGTCATGGACATGATTGCCTAGACACACACACACAACAGGATATGGCTGCCCAGCGCTTCTCTCTCTGAGATCTATCACTGCTGTTAGTAGTCTCTAAACACTGACACACGTTGCAGTGTGTGCCTGTGTGAATAAATACACGTGTGTGTGTGTGTGTTCACTATGCAAGCACGTGCAGGCCAGCCAGAGGCATTTTCCAAATAGGCATGTAAAATACAGTACAGTGATAAGACAGATCTAGAATAGAAAAGGAAAGTGGACAGAAAAGAAAGAGAACTATTAGCCTATTTATAACCAATGTCTTTATACAGGCCTACAAGGTTAGTATTATGGATTATCTTGTCATCCTCCAATAACTGGTTATAAATGTTATAAACGTGTAATACACCAATGTCTTTCTATTCACAAATACATTATTAAACATGATTAATGTCTGGTGTATGTAATTTATCATACATTTATAACCTAATTATTAGATGATAATATTAATTATCCCCTTTATAAATACATTATCCTGGCCTCTATCAGCGTATGTCTCGTCAACATTGATCCAGCTTGTAAAGCAACTCTTAAGCCCCTCCCACAACACCCCACAGGGTCAAGTTAAACCCCTCCCCCTCTCATTTACCTTGATTACCCCGTCTCTCTCACACTCTCTGTCTGTTTCCATCTGTTCTAGGAGGCCAGAGTTAGTCAACACTGATCCTTATTGATGGGAAATATGGCCCCTAGCCCCTCCCCCACTCCTTACTCATCTACTGCTGAGTCAGAACATTGGGGGATTTGAGTGAGATGTTATGGTGTGTGTTTGGGGGTTGGGAGAGATGCTGTCATCTTCTGGTTATGATTATCAAATTATAGAGAGGTTTTATAGAGAGGTTTTACTCTCTACTTAGTGAAAGTCGGTGTGAATTTGTGTTGACAGATTTTAGGCTTGTGGGAAGTGTCTGTACATGTGTCTCGCTCTTAGTTCTTCATTGACCTGTATCTACAGTGTTGATGGGACAGTTTGGACATTTAACATAACATTACAGATGAATATGTTGCTATGATAAAGATACAAGCATTACATGATGACATGCGTGGACAACGTTGCCTCTGACGATATGACACTGGGCCAGAAAGGAGAACGTTGTGGTTGCAACTTCATCCAGAAATGATTGGCATTAAGACTGTCTGCCATAAGATATGCGAGGGATGTAGACCCAGCCTATCATCAGACAGGAAGCTGGGCCTGTTTTTTTTGTTTGTGTAAACCCCAGCAGCATTTACACTTTGCTCCGTCAGTGGGCTGAGCTCATTATAACCATGCAGGCCCTACGCACCGCTAGCCATGCATGGCAGCATAGCACACTGCCATTTTAAGCCCAGATATGCCAGAATCGACATATCAGGGCCAAGGTCTACAGGCTTGAACCTAACCGCCTGGCTGTTTCTCTGTCCTCTGAAGTGACTTCATGTCTGTCTCCCCTCCTTCTTCTTCTGTACTGATCTGAGAGAGATGAGCAGGGGAAAGGCATGATGGGCCGCCGCCGTGCTGCTTTTACCTGTCAACTCTTTTCAGATCAGTACAGTTGGAGAGGGCGCAAAGTGTGTGTGTGTGAGATTAGTGAGTCAGCTGTGCCACTCCTACTGTCCCTCCCTGCTTCACCAAGCTAAGAATAGTGTGTTTGGCGACTCATAATAAAACCACTCTGTCTTGTGTGTTTCTGTTAGATACTTTATTTAGAGCTTCTATTCTGTACATCTCACTTATTCAGGCCTGCAGCTATTTACAGCTATTTCTGTTCTGTTCACCCCAGGCTAACTTCATAAGAACATCACTGAGATTACTGAGGTTATTATCACTCATTCAATATTATATTACGACACTTCACTGTGATGGAGACGTGGCTTCATTCAAAAGGAGTGTATGTGTGTGTGCCGTCTCTACCCTGACTCTACACTGACTAACCCAGTGTGTTACCCCTCCAGCAGGCCCTGGATAGGCATGCATGGACATTTCTGACATTTCGTACACAGAAGTGCAGAATTTAATACTTGGCACTTAAATCTGGCATGGCCCTGTTGCTGTAGAGGCTCTAGGGGCACTGGGCTGAGGGGAGGGGAGGCAAGGTAGGGTATGAAGGGTATACTTAGGGGTAACTCCGTATCAAAGCCGCAGCTGTTATAGCTGGTAGTCCTCTGACGTTTCATAGACATGGGAAAGAGGAAGGCACACTGGTGCGGCTATAGCTAGACCTAGTCTTCCTCAGTCTTCCTCCTCATCCTGACATTTGAGGCTTCAGTGCATCCTGTTGGTCAGTGGTTAGAGCTGGGGGCTAAGGGTTGTGGTCTGGTCCTGGCGTGGGGATGGCAGAGTGTCACCACACAGTGAAATCGCACCCCGCGTCTTCAGATCACAGACTCTCACACAGGGCATTGATGTCCCCCCGCATACGACTAGCTAAAACCAGAATACAGCGCGGTACACTCATACTCATTTAGACTGGAGCTCCTACAGTTAGTTTCCTTATTTTCTCCTGAAAGGACATCTGACAACTACTTCTGGACCTAGGACTTGTAGCCTGCCCTAAAGGATCCCTTTTTGGAATGTGTGGTGATCTGATTTATGCACAGATCAGCCTTTATCCCATGCATTTATTTAGAATGGCATTTAGCTACTGGCACACAGAACCCTATGTTCATTGTAGTGTGCCAGAAGGCCAATGTTTTGTTCAAGACAAGGATAGTACTAAAGGAAGACCAGGACGGCAGAACAGGCTTGATATGATCTCCAGCTACCAGGCCAGTGTTCAGAGTAATAATGTTATAGTAGTAGAACAATGACACATTGTGTAATAATGACACATTCATAACCTCCATTGTATCTCAGTCTGACCAGTGTTGACCTTTCCCTTCCTATCACTATGGCTGCTCCTGTTCACTCATTAGCAGCTAAGTACCTCAGTTAGAGATCTGCATGCACACACTCTGACCCCCAACCCAAGTGCTCTGAAGTGTCGCATGGCAAAGTTTCATATGGAATCTATATAACACACACCTGTACATATGGCAGAGTTCTATACAGCCTGTTATGGCCTACACAGCAGACAATGTTTTATGGGGAGATGTACAGTGTGAGTGGGGGAGGCTGGCTAAGCTTTTGTAGTGTGTGTCTGATTGTTATGTGAGAGATGTGGCCCAGCCTGTTGGCGAATTCCACTGTGGTAGAGTAGGAGTTTGATTATGAAATGATTGTGTTGAACACACAATAGAATGCACTGAATAGAATGTACATAACATCATCTAGACTAGAGAATAGTGTACATAGTAGAATGTAGATAGGATAATGCAGATAGACTAGACAGGCTTGTTTACTGAAGCTATTGTTTGGATACAGTATGTTTCAGAAGACCAGAATGGTAGTAGTGATATACACACATTTCCCCTCTCTCTCACACACACATACACACACACACACACTCTCACACACATACACACAAACACTCTCTCACACACATACACTCACACACATACACATACACACACACACTCTCTCTCACACACACACACTCTCTCTCTCTCACACACACACACACCTACAATCACACACTGCAGTGCACATGAACCCCGAGGCCCTACCAGATACAGTATATGCACCGATTTAATGCTGGCTATCTCATCTATAATTATCTGCCCGATCAATGTTCTGGAGCACATCCCTTGAACACTGACACACACACACAATCACACACACACACACACATACAGTGAGAACAAATGGAGACTCTATGTTTCTGCCTTACATGATCAATTTGTATTGAAGCTGCAGTAGGACTAGGCAGTGAACCGAGGCAGAACTGCACCACACAGAAAGGGCATCACTCACATTATAGCAGAAAAGTATAGATCTGGACAACATACATACAGTTGAAGTCGGAAGTTTACATACACTTAGGTTGGAGTCATTAAAACTTGTTTTTCAACCACTCCACAAATGTCTTGTTAACAAACTATAGTTTTGGCAAGTCGGTTAGGACATCTACTTTGTGCATGACACAAGTAATTTTTCCAACAATTGTTTACAGACATATTATTTCACTTATAATTCACTGTATCACAATTCCAGTGGGTCAGAAGAGTACATACACTAAGTTGACTGTGCCTTTAAACAGCTTGGAAAATTCCAGAAAATGATGTCATGGCTTTAGAAGCTTCTGATAGGCTAATTGACATCATTTGAGTCAATTGGAGGTGTACCTGTGGATGTATTTCAAGGCCTACCTTCAAACTCTGTTTGCTTGACATCATAGGAAAATCAAAAGAAATCAGCCAAGACCTCATAAAATCAATCCCAGAACAACAGCAAAGGACCTTGTGAAGATGCTGGAGGAAACAGGTACAAAAGTATCTATATCCACAGTAAAACTAGTCCTATATCGACATAACCTGAAAGGCTGCTCAGCAAGGAAGAAGCCACTGCTCCAAAACCGCCATAAAAAAGCCAGACTACGGTTTGCAACTGCACATGGGGACAAATATCGTACTTTTTGGAGAAATGTCCTCTGGTCTGATGAAACAGAAATAGAACTGTTTGGCCATAATGACCATTGTTATGTTTGGAGGAAAAAGGGGGAGCTTGCAAGCCGAAGAACACCATCCCAACCGTGAAGCACGGGGTGGCAGCATCATGCTGTGGGGGTGCTTTGCTGCAGGAGGGACTGGTGCACTTCACAAAATAGATGGCATCAAAATTATGTGGATATATTGAAGCAACATCTCAAGACATCAGTCAGGAAGTTAAAGCTTGGTCGCAAATGGTCTTCCAAATGGACAATGACCCCAAGCATACTTCCAAAGTTGTGGCAAAATGGCTTAAGGACAACAAGGTCAAGGTATTGGAGTAGCCATCACAAAGCTCTGACCTCAATCTTATAGAAAATGTGTGGGCAGAACTGAAAAGTGTGTGCGAGCAAGGAGGCCTACAAACCTGACTCAGTTACACCAGCCCTGTCAGGAGGAATGGGCCAAAATTCACCCAACTTATTGTGGAAAGCTTGTGGAAGGCTACCCGAAACGTTTGACCAAAATTAAACAATTTAAAGGCAATGCTACCAAATACTAATTGAGTGTATGTAAACTTCTGACCCACTGGGAATGTGATGAAAGAAATAAAAGCTTAAATAAATCATTCTCTCTACAATTATTCTGACATTTCACATTCTTAAAATAAAGTGGTGATCCTAACTGACCTAAAACAGGGATTTTTTTACTAGGATTAAATGTCAGGAATTGTGAAAAACTGAGTTTAAATGTATTTGGCTAAGGTCTATGTAAACTTCAGACTTCAACTGTACGTCCTTAGTGGAGAATGTAAGCACGTAGCCCTCGTTTTCTTCAGGGGGTCTCCTCGGCAGCTCAGTCGTTTTGCTCGAAGCGTGAGAAAAAGGTGTTTAGCTTGTTCGGTAGGGCGGCGTTGGTGTCCGGCGTGACTGGCTTTCTTTTTGTAATTTGTGAAAGATACCGTCGGTATCACGTCACCGAATGAATTTTTTTTTATGAATCCGGTTACTGGGTCGGTGTATTCATTGATGTTATCCCCAGAGGCGACCTGGAACATTCTAGCCCACGTGATCAAAACAGTCTTGAAGCATGGATTCTAATTGGTTAGACCAGCGTTGTACAGACCTGACCACCGGAACTTCCCTCTTGAGTCTTTTTTGTTTGTAGCCGGGGAGGAGCAAAATGGAGTCATGGTCAGATTTGCTGAAAGGAGGACGGGAGATGGCCTTATACCCATGTTGAAAAGGCGTGTAGCAGTTGTACGGCATAGAATCTCCAAGAGTTGGACAGTCAATGTATTGATAGTAATTCTGCAGCACGGTTCTCAAATTACTTTTTTAAAAGTCCCCTGCGACAGTTTGTTCAGGGTCCAATGAAGATCTTGGAGCGGCTTGGAGCGGGATGTACACAGCCATGGCGATAATCCCTGAGAACTCTCTCGGAAGGCATGATGACCAAGTATTCCAAGTCGGGAGAGCAGAAGCTTGCAAGTTCATGTACGTTTCCACCATAAAGCAGAGCCCTCCACCTTTATTCTGGCCAGAGAGAGCCCTCTTCCTATCAGCTCAATGAACTGTAAAACCCGCTGGTTGTATGTCATCCGTTTGGATGTCGGAGGAAAGCCACGTTTCAGAAAAACTGAGTATGTTGCAGATTTGTATGTCCCTCTGGAAGTTCGTCAAGTTTATTCAATAATGATTGAACATTGGCGAGTAGTATGCTCGGTAATGGAGGACGGGTCGCCCGGTGTTTCACTAAGAGCCCCCCACGTCTGCGTCTTCGTTTCCTACTCTCCGGTAGGACCACCAGGCAACCCTGCGCCTCACCAAAGAAGCTAGACTATTGTTCTGCCATCTCTGGGAATTCGGGAAGGTCGGGTAGACGGTAGTACCCAGCGATTCATATTCCAATAGTTCTACCTGGGTGTATGAAGTAATGCACGAAACAAACTGAGTAAAAAAATGTAGATAAACACTAGAAAAAACACCAGAAAAAGTAGAAACCTGCAATGTTTTGTAGGAGCTCGAGGTGAGGCGCCATCTTATATTGTTGAATAGAGGTAGAGGTGAAATGTTTCCTCTGGTATTGTGTCCCGTGTGTAAATCCTGTCTAGTTTTCCTGTTGTTTCGTTCTGAGTTTTGGAGTTCTGCCTAGGTATTTTCCATCTCAGTGTCAGACTCTGCATGGAATGTGGCTGAAATTCCCAAACAACACAATTTACCCCTGGGTCCTGGATTCAGGAGGAAAAGTACAGATGAGAGCGAAAGCAAACACACGCACGCACACACACACACACACACATACATACACACACTGTCTAATGGTAGGTGAATGTTTGTCTCTGCAGTCAGCAGGTGTGTGTGTGTGTGTGTGTTTTAGCTGTGTGTGTGTGTGTAGTAGTGGATTTTCCCTTTTGTTAGGCTAATATTTGATTTATCTCATAGACCTGAAGGTTTGTTTTCCTCTCTCTATCCATCCCTCTATGCCTCTCATCCTGATCTGTATTCCTCCACCATATCTCTGTCCATCATTAACCTTTATCAGAGGGGAGAGGGGGAGTGATAGGAGGGGAAGATGGGAGAGGGGAAAGCAGATGTACCCCAGTCTGGACTTTATCTCTCTCTTCTTATCAGCTGTATAGACCCCGTCTATTACCCCATTATTACACACACACACACACACACACACACACACACACACACACACACACGGGTGCTGCTACTGACAACTAGTAAACACACTGTCACCCAGTGGCCTCCCTTAAAGGGGATGTGTGTCTGTAGAGGATTATTTGTTCCCACAGAGCGCTGAGCAAGTCGAAGCCTGCCGCTCCCAAAGCATCATGGGAATACTGGGCCCCATGGAATGGTCTCCAAAGAACAACAAACGCAACATCCAACCAACTCTGGGACTATGGAACTAGTACCCCGAGCTGAGCCACCAACTACCTGCCTGCCTACAACATTCCAAACACACCATGCATGACACTATTCTAGAACAGGTGTTCCCAAACTTTTTCACTCGGGGTCCCCCCTTCCAGCATTGGGTAACATACCGCACCCCACATCTATTTTTATGGGCACAAGCACTGTTCATGACACAAACTGTTCACACCCCTCTTGTTGGTAGAGAGAATTTAGCAGGTTTAAAGCTTATTTCCTGCAATTCTACACATTTTGTCATGGGGTGCAAAGAAAACTTTGCAGTTTTAAAGCAAATTGTCTTGCAATTCTATACATTTTGCCACGTCTAATGTGTATTCATGTGATATTTGAGTGACAAAAAAATTACAACAATATCTATGGGCTAAAAAACATAAATAAAATAAAAACATTAGCTGACATGAGCTAGTTGATCTGGACATTTCTGACAAGTTATAAATTGCTCTCTAAGGTATGCAATGACTAACATGACAAGAGGAACTGATGACGCATTATCCAATTTCGAAATTGCATCTTGAGCATTCTACTATCACAACTTTCAAAATTGAGCTCAGGTGCATCCTGTTTCCATTGATCATCCTTGAGATGTTTCTACAACTTGATTGTAGTCCACCTGTGGTAAATTCAATTGATTGGACATGATTTGGAAAGGCACACACCTGTCTATATAAGGTCCCACAGTTGACAGTGCATGTCAGAGCAGAAACCAAGCCATGAGGTCGAAGGAATTGTCCGTAGAGCTCCGAGACAGGATTGTGTCGAGACACAGATCTTGGGAAGGGTACCAAAAAATGTCTGCAGAATTGAAGGTCCCCAAGAACACAGTGGCCTCCATCATTCTTAAATGGAAGAAGTTTGGAACCACCAAGACTCTTCCTAGAGCTGGCCAAACTGAGCAATCGGGGAAGAAGGGCCTTGGTCAGGGAGGTGACCAAGAAAACGATGGTCACTCTGACAGCTCTCCAGAGTTCCTCTGTGGAGATGGGAGAACCTTCCAGAAGGACAACCATCTCTGCAGCACTCCACCAATCAGGCCTTTTATGGTAGAGTGGCCAGACGGAAGCCACTCCTCAGTAAAAGGCACATGACAACCCGCTTGGAGTTTGCCAAAAGGCACCTAAAGACTCCCAGACCATGAGAAACAAGATTCTCTGGTCTGACGAAACCAAGATTGAACTATTTGGCCTGAATGCCAAGCGTCACGTCTGGAAGAAACCTCGCACCATCCCTACAGTGAAGCATGGTGATGGCAGCATCATGCTGTGGGGATGTTTTTCAGCGGCAGGAACTGGGAGACTAGTCAGGATCAAGGGAAAGATGAACGGAGCAAAGTACAGAGAGCTCCATGATGAAAACCTGCTCCAGAGCGCTCAGACTGGGGCGACGGTTCACCTTCCAACAGGACTATGACCCTAAGCACACAGACAAGACAATGCAGGAGTGGCTTTGGGACAAGTCTCAATGTCTTTGTGGGGCCCAGCCAGAGCCCGGACTTGAACCCGATTGAACATCTCTGGAGAGACCTGAAAATAGCTGTGCAGCGACGCTCCCCATCCAACCTGACAGAGTTTGAGAGGATCTGCAGAGAAGAATGGGAGAAACTCCCCAAATACAGGTGTGCCAAGCTTGTAGCGTCATACCCAAGAAGACTCGAGGCTGTAATTGCTGCCAAAGGTGCTTCAACAAAGTACTGAGTAAAGGTTCTGAATACTTATGTAAATGTGATGATAACCTGTTTTTGATTTGTCATTCTGGGGTATTGTGTGTAGATTGAGGGGGAAAAAACAATTTAATTCATTTTAGAATAAGTAACGTAACAAAATGTGGCAAAATTCAAGGGGTCTGATTACTTTCCGAATGCACTGTATACAGATGAGAGCTTCTACGAGCAATGCTTACCTTTTAATGAGATGTGCCGCATGCACACTCTCTCTCTCTTTCTCTCTGAGTGTTAATCAGAAGGTGCTTATGAGCAATACTTACCTGTTAATGGGAACTTAGCAGAGTGATCCATCACAGGTCTGTTAATGCTGCTGCTCTTCCTAATGAAGACTGATGGCCTTATCACTACTACAGAGAGGGAGGAGAGAGAGGGGTGTGTATTGAGGAGTGAGCGGAATGAATAAATACTACCCTCAAACAACTACTCCCTCTTTCCATCCCCCTCTCCTCTCACCTCTATTCACCCAACACATATTTTAGAATGTCGGCCTGGGTTTTCCATCTCCCCTTTTCTCACATCCCTAGCTCTCCTCTCTCGGAATAGAAACAGTGTTGGCATGTTTAGGTGCCAGAGCTCTACCTCACTGTGTCCCCTCCCTGTATGATTGTGTGTGTGTGTGTGTGTGTGTGTGTGTGTGTGGGACACTGGTTGTGCGTCACACATGTCAGGGTATCAGCCGTGTAACCGGTGTGTTTAGCCAGCATCCTGGGGAAGGGACGGGGGATGGCCAGAGAGGATGGTAGGTACTAGGTAGGTGCCTAGGGTGATACCCTGTGTTTGGACCAGGCTTTGACTGTGGCATTGGCTGTGTATGACTCCGTCTGTTCCTGTCTTTATTTATAGAACTGTTCTACTGAGCCTGTGGAGAGACCTGATGGCTGGCTTTACCTAGTCAAACACACAAGTGTGTGTGCGCTCACTGACCTCCTGAACCACCAGTTAACTATTATCAGTCATATCCTGCTTCCTGCTTTAACGCATCACTTCCTTCTGGGACCCCTCTCTGGATTGGGTTACATTCCCTCTCTCTCTCTCTCTCTCTCTATCTCTCTTTCTTGGTGTCTGACTAATGACGGACAAATTAGAGATTAGGGGCGTGCACACACTCACCCTTAGCATGAATGCATACGGTCATCTGAATGCATGAATCAAAGAACCAGACCAGCCTGAAGCGAAACTGAGTAAAGCAGAAGGGAGAGGAAGTGCTGAGCTGGTGATATGGCTTAGGGGTTAGTACAATTGAGAAACCATGTGACCCACTTCCTATTGTGACAGATTGTACCCCTCCCACCTGTGTATTTGTGGGGGTGGGCTGGGTATGATGATGGTTTAGGAAAATATTATCTTTGGGTGTGTTATTGAACGTTGTGATGTCACACACACACACAGTTGAACCGGTTATTCTTAGTCATACTCAAAAGCCATAGTGTTTCCACGCCTGCTTTCTGTTGTTCCATTATAAAGGCATCTGACTGACTGGTAGTTATTCTTCCACTGAACACTACTGTATAAACTGTTTCACACACACCAACGCTCGCACTGTTACAACATACACACACATGGCAGACAGAATATCTCAGTCACAGAATGACAAGACAAAGACAGAGGAAGTGTTAGGTGGTTATCACGTGTAGCTTCTCACCTTTCTCTGTTTTCTCTCTGTCATGTACCGTAAGGTCTTGGCCCTCCCTTGTGTGTGTTTGCATTAGATAAACAAAAGCTGATATGCTTGTGGGTAGGGGTTTGTCATTGCCATAAAAATAAGTTGCTCATTCATTTCCTGCTTGTTGAGACATGAAACGGGTTGGGGGTTTCTGCTACAGCAGGACACCACCAGTAAGTACCAGGATGTTGGTGTAATGTTAGACAAATAGGAGGAAGAGGCTTGTAACAATGGTAAATGTAATAACACCGGTAAATGTAATAACTTTTCTATTTTAATTTTTTTAAAATCGAATAAACCCGCTTAATGTAATAACTTGCCGGTAAACGCAATAAAATGTTGAATGGTAATCATAATAACTTTTTCTGACCAAATGTAATAAGTTAATACATTAACTGGTGGTTATTACATTAACCGGTGAGTAACAACTTTTTTATGAATAATGTATTAACTTCAACCAATCATGTAATAACATACTCAAATCTATGTTTTTATGCACATACCATCCACCACCCACTGCCAATTACATCAGAACCAAACTCATGCATATCTGTTACAGGAGGGGGTCGCAGTTCCGGAGCGACCCACTAGGTGTCATCCTCCGACAACCTTAGGCACCTCCTCACTCACAGTCGGGACTATTCATCATCATATTGGTGTCACCTGTGTCTATCTGTTCACCTGTGTATTTATGCCCTCACTTCCCTGTGTTCCCTTGCTCAGTTTTCTCTGCTAGTTTCTCTATGTCCAGCAGTACTACTCAGTGTCTGATCGGAGACCTATGTACAGGTACTTGAGAAGTGTTTTCCCTGTTTCGTTATTTGTTTCAGTCTTAGGTAGTATTTCGTATTTTGGCTGTCAGACGGTTTTTGGAGACTTATTTGCTCCGCCTTTCTTTTATCGTGATAAGTCCGTTCTTTTATATTTTGGCTTCGGGACCACCAGTAAAGATCCTTGTTTCACCATCTCTGCCTACTGTATATTGTGCACCGCACCTGGGTCATACCTCACCCCAACCCTTACAGAAAACTGAGCCAATATGGAGCCAGTGGAGGCAGCACAGTATCGGAGCACATTGGCAACACAGGGAGCTATGCTGAACCAACACGACCGCAGCCTGCAGCAGATCACCGAGAATCTTCACCAGCTGACGATCACCATGCAGAGCCGGGTGGACACCCAACCAGCCCCGGCAGCCGGCGGAGCGGAAGCCGCGGCAGCTGCGTCTTCAGTCTCACCTGCGACAGTCTCACCTGCGACTCATGCCCGGAGAAGCCGGGAAACGGGAGGGCCCGCTAGTATTTGGAGGGGTGCTAGCGAGCCCGAACCGAAAACCCCGACATCCAGAGACTACCAGACTTCTCTCCCCGTCAGGGTTCAGTGGGCCCTTGCTGCGCGTCGGGAGCATGCACTGGTGGATTCTGGGGCCGCGGGAAACCTGATGGTTGCGGGGCTGGCCCAAGGGTGGAGCGTTCCGCTACTCTCCCTCGCCGAGCCGGTTCCGGTCATGGGCCTGGACGGCCGGCCGTTGGGGTTGGGCCTGTTCCGGTCTCCACCGACCACTCATTAGCCCAAACCACTGTCCCAGACCACCTACCAGTCCTCACCTCTTCCCCAGGTCCCGCACTCCGAACTGCCTACCGCTCTAGCGGCGGTTGCCACCGGGAGGACAGCAGCTACAGACTCCGTCACCGGCCCAGACCTGGCAGGCGTTCCCCGGGAGTATTGGGATCTGGAGGAGGTATTTAATAAGATGTGTGCCAAGGGCCTACCTCCTCACAGGCCTTATGACTGCGCTATCGATCTCCTGCTGGGCGCCATGCCCACACGAGGGCGATTGTTTTCCTTGTCCCAGCCGGAGACGCTGGCCATGAGGGAGTATATCGACAAGGCACTCGTCGAGGGTCACATCTGTCAGTGGAGAGTCCGGAGTCAGCCCTCCAGCCCAACATTCCACATCAGTACGCAGATTTCTCCGATATCTTCTCTTCATCAAAGGCTACATGTCTCCCTCCTCACAGGCCCTGGGACTGCACCATTGACCTGCTGGAGGGACAACACCCCCCGAAGAGTCGCATTTACCCCCTTTCCATGGCGGAGACTGAGGCCATGGAGAAGTATGTGGTGGAGACACTGAAACAGGGGTTCATCAGACGCTCTACCTCTCCTGCCTCCGCCAGCTTCTTCTTCGTGGCCAAAAAAGACAGAGGACTGAGACCATGCATTGACTACAGGGGGCTGAACGCAGTCACCACCAAGTACCGGTACCTTCTCCCTCTGGTTCCGTCGGCCATCGAGCAGCTGCGAGGGGCCCGGTACTTTACCAAGTTGGACCTGAGGAGTGCCTACAACCTGATCCGAATCCGGGAAGGAGATGAGTGGAAGACACCATTCAGCACTACCTCAGGCCACTATGAATACTGCATCATGTCCTACGGCCTCGCCAATGCACCTTCTGTGTTCCAGTCCTTCGTCTACCTCACCCGCGGGCTTCTACTTCGTGGGGAAAAAGGACGGTGGGCAGCGGCCATGCATTGATTACCGGGCGCTCAACGACATCACGGTTAAGAACCGCTACCCACTCCGCCTGATGATGACGGCATTCGAGTCGTTGCAGGGAGCCCGGGTCTTCACCAAGCTGGACTTACGTAATGCCTACAACCTGATGAGGATTCGGGAGGGGGACGAGTGGAAGACGGCTTTTAACACACCCAGTGGGCATTACGAGTTCCAAGTCATGCCGTTGGGTCTAGCCAACGCGCCTGCGGTGTTCCAGGCGTTGGTCAATGACGTACTCCGGGACCTCCTCGACTACAGTGTCTTCGTGTATTTTGATGACATCCTAATATTTTAGAAGGACATGAGTGAACATCAGCATGTTCGGCATGTCCACCAACGCCTTCTCCGTCACCAGCTCTACGTCAAGGTGGAGAAGTGTGTGTTCCACACAGAGACAGTCTCCTTCCTGGGGTTCATCGTCACCCAGGGGGACCTATGGATGGACCCAGCCAAGGTCAGCGCAGTACTGGATTGGCCCCAGCCTTCATCCCTCAAGCAACTACAAAGTTTTTTAGGGTTTGCTTATTTTAGTTGATTTATTCGCAATTTTAGATCCCAAACGCTCCCCTGACAGCCCTCACCCAGACGACCGTACGCTCCTTTGCCTGGACCCCGAAGCGGGGAACGCATTTGATGCGCTTAAGTGGCACTTTACATCGGCCCCGGTTCTCGGGCATCCTGATCCCTGATTGCTGCCCCAGTTTCGTGGAGAATTGATAGCCTGGTCAGAGCAGCGCTACGGCGGGAGCCCGACCTGGGCAGCGGTCCATCGGGGAGGATGTACGTACCATGGGCGCACGCGTCAGACCTCACCATCCATCCGGGGGGTGCCAGGATGTTGGAGTTCCTGCGTAGGAGGTTCTGGTGGCCATCTGCTGAGGGGGATACGCGTGCCTTCGTGGCTGCTTGCCCAGTGTGCGCGCACACGAAGAGCTCACGTCAGCCCGCGGCAGGGCTGCTCCGACCCCTGCCTATCCCCAAGCGCCCCTGGTCCCACATCTCGCTGGATTTAATTTCCACACTACCCCCACTCTGATGGATACACAGTCCTCGTGGTCATTGTGGATCGGTTCTCGAAGGCTGCCCACTTCATTCCCCTTCCCAAACTCCCGTCGGCCTGGGAGACGGCTAAGTTGGTGCTGCAGCATGTTTTCCGGGTCCATGGCCTTCCCCAAGATGTGGTGTCGGATCGGGGCCCTCAGTTCGCCTCCAGGTTCTGGAAGGCGTTCGCCACCTGCCTCGGCACCTCCATCAGCTTGTCTTCTGGCTTCCATCCCCAGTCAAACGGCAGACGGAGCGCGTCAACCAGGATCTGGAGGGGGTGCTGAGGTGCTACGCCTCCAGCAACCCAGCTACATGGAGTCAGCGACTGGCGTGGGCGGAGTACGCCCACAACACCCTTCTTTGCTTGTCCACCGGCCTGTCCCCCTTCCAGTGCCAATACTGGTACCAACCCCCCTTATTCCCCGAGCAAGAGGAAGAGGCATCGTTTCCCGTCGGTCCAGGCCCACATCAGTCATTGTCGCCACACCTGGAGGCAGTTACGGGCGGCGCTTAAGCGGGCCTCGGTCAAGTCTCAACATCAGGCCAACCGCAGGCGTCGCCCGGCCCCGGTCTTTTGCTCGTGACAGAGGGTGTGGCTCTCCACGTGGAGTCCAGGAAGCTGTCCCCCCGGGCCATTCAGAGTGGTCCGGCGAGTTAACCCAGTGGCCTACCGCCTGCAACTTCCCCCCACCATGAGGGTGCATCCCACATTCCATGTGTCCCTCCTCAAGCCCGTTGCCACCTGTCCCCTGGCTCCCCCTCCGCGTCCTGTTCCCCCGCTGCGCCTCGTCGGAGGGCAGCCGGCTTTTACTGAGGACCGGATCCTGGACTGCCGGCTCGTTGGGAGGGGTCTCCAATTTCTGGTGGACTGGGAGGGTTATGGGCCGGAGGAGCAGTCCTGGGTGTCCAGGAGGGACATTCTGGACCCAGGGCTGATAACAACATTCCGTCGCCTCCACTCGGAGGCGCCGAGGTGAACGGCTGGGGACGTTCGCCGGGGGTGCACTGTTACAGGAGGGGGTCGCAGTTCAGGAGCGACCCACTAGGTGTCATCCTCCGACAACCTTAGGCACCTCCTCACTCACAGTCGGGACTAATCATCATCATATTGGTGTCACCTGTGTCTATCTGTTCACCTGTGTATTTATGCCCTCACTTCCCTGTGTTCCCTTGCTCAGTTTTCTCTGCTAGTTTCTCTATGTCCAGCAGTACTACTCAGTGTCTGATCGGAGACCTATGTACAGGTACTTGAGAAGTGTTCTCCCTGTTTCATTATTTGTTTCAGTCTTAGGTAGTATTTCGTATTTTGGCTGTCAGCCGGTTTTTGGAGACTTATTTGCTCCGCCTTTCTTTTATCGTGATAAGTCCGTTATATTTTGTATTTTGGCTTCGGGAACATCAGTAAATATCCTTGTTTCACCATATCTGCCTACTGTATATCCTGCACCGCACCTGGGTCACACCTCACCCCAACCCTTACACACATCATACAGAAATACTCATATAGACACTCACAAGCACACATTGAAATGTACACACATGCACAGTCATATACAGTATCTCACAAAAGTGAGTACACCCCTCACATCTTTGTAAATATTTGAGTATATCTTTTCATGTGACAACACTGAAGAAATGACACTTTGCTACAATGTAAAGTAGTGAGTGTACAGCTTGTATAACAGTGTAAATTTGCTGTCCCCTCAAAATAACACAACACACAGCCATTAATGTCTAAACCGCTGGCAACAAAAGTGAGTACACCCCTAAGTGAAAATGTCCAAATTGGGCCCAAAGTGTCAATATTTTGTGTGGCCACCATCATTTTCCAGCACTGCCTTAACCCTCTTGGGCATGGAGTTCACCAGAGCTTCACAGGTTGCCACTGGAGTCCTCTTCCACTCCTCCATGATGACATCACGGAGCTGGTGGATGTTAGAGACCTTGCACTCCTCCACCTTCCGTTTGAGGATGCCCCACAGATGCTCAATAGGGTTTAGGTCTGGAGACATGCTTGGCCAGTCCATCACCTTTATCCTCAGCTTCTTTAGCAAGGCAGTGGTAGTCTTGGAGGTGTGTTTGGGGTCGTTATCATGTTGGAATACTGTCCTGCGGCCCAGTCTCCGAAGGGAGGGGATCATGCTTTGCTTCAGTATGTCACAGTACATGTTGGCATTCATGGTTCCCTCAATGAACTGTAGCTCCCCAGTGCTGGCAGCACTCATGCAGCCCCAGACCATGACACTCCCACCACCATGCTTGACTGTAGGCAAGACACACTTGTCTTTGTACTCCTCACCTGGTTGCCGCCACACACGCTTGATACCATCCGAACCAAATTAGTTTGTCTTGGTCTCATCAGACCACAGGACATGGTTCCAGTAATCCATGTCCTTAGTCTGCTTGACTTCAGAAAACTGTTTGCGGACTTTCTTGTGCATCATCTTTAAAAGAGGCTTCCTTCTGGGACGACAGCCATGCAGACCAATTTGATGCAGTGTGCGGCGTATGGTCTGAGCACTGACAGGCTGACCCCCCCACCCCTTCAACCTCTGCAGCAATGCTGGCAGCACTCATACGTCTATTTCTCAAAGACAACCTCTGGATATGACACTGAGCACGTGCACTCAACTTCTTTGGTCGACCATGGCGAGGCCTGTTTTGAGTGGAACCTGTCCTGTTAAACCGCTGTATGGTCTTGGCCACCGTGCTGCAGCTCAGTTTCAGGGTCTTGGCAATCTACTTATAGCCCAGGCCATCTTTATGTACATTTTACATTTTAGTCATTTAGCAGACGCTCTTATCCAGAGCAACTTACAGTTAGTGAGTGCATACATTATTATTTTTAATTTTTTCATACTGGCCCCCCATGGGAATCGAACCCACAACCCTGGCGTTGCAAACGCCATGCTCTACCAACTGAGCTACATCCCTGCCGGCCATTCCCTCCCCTACCCTGGACGACGCTGGGCCAATTGTGCGCCGCCCTATGGGTCTCACGGTCACGGCCGGCTACGACAGAGCAACAATTATTTTTTTCAGATCCTCAGAGTTCTTTGCCATGAGGTGCCATGTTGAACTTCCAGTGACCAGTATGAGGGAGTGTGAGAGCGATGACACCAAATTTAATACACCTGCTCCCCATTCACACCTGAGACCTTGTAACACTAACGAGTCACATGACACCGAGGAGGGAAAATGGCTAATTGGGCCCAATTTGGACATTTTCACTTAGGGTGTACTCACTTTTGTTGCCAGCGGTTTAGACATTAATAGCTGTGTGTTGAGTTATTTTGAGTGGACAGCAAATTTACACTGTTATACAAGCTGTACACTCACTACTTTACATTGTAGCAAAGTGTCATTTCTTCAGTGTTGTCACATGAAAAGATATACTCAAATATTTACAAAAATGTGAGGGGTGTACTCACTTTTGCGAGATACTGTGTGAGTGTATATATATATATATATACACACACACACACACACACACACACACACACACACACACACACAACAATTTACTTTATTATTATTAATCAAGCTTATTATGTTTCTGGTGATTATTACATTATCAGGTCAGTAGCAACTTCTTTTATGAAGAACATAATGGGCTAACTTCAACCGATCATGTAATAACCAAAATCTCTGTACTATTGTATTATTTCCCTTATTTTGATGGACATGGAATAGTCTCAAAAGTGCAAAAGCCATCAATCTGGCACTCCAGGCAGGCTAAAGCAAACGCTTAACTAGACACAACATCCAGGTGACCAAGAACGTCTTAAAAATGTCCTCGGGATGTCCCCAGGACCAACTGTGAACTAGAGAACCTCCAGGGGACCATGACACAACGTCCTGGCGACTTTAGGCAACCATTTCATGACGTCCCGGGGACGTCCTAACTACTCATTATTGTTTGCAGGGAACTATTGCAGATTACATGTTTAATACTAGGGCATACAGATTCCTTCAAGTATTTTTTTTGTGTGCGTGCGGGTGTGTGTGACTGCATGTGTGTGCATTTCAATGTGTGCTTGTGATTGTCTATATTCTGTATGATGTGCATGAGTTTGTTTGGGTTGTAATTGCTGGTGGGTGGTATGTGCATCAAATTGAACAAAGTCATACGTCAAAAAATGAGATTTTGGTATGTTATTACATGATTGGTTGAAGTTATTACATTATTCATGAAAAAAGTTGTTACTCACCAGTTAATGTAATAACCACTGGTTAATGTAATAACTTGTTACATTCAACAAAAAAAGGTATTACGTTTACCGTTCAACATTTTATTACATTTACTGGCAAGTTATTACATTTACCGGGTTTATTACATTTACTGTTGTTACAATGCTAGACCCTAACACTGAAGGAAGCATGTGTAAGCTTGCATGGTAGCAGTAATTGACGGGGGAAGGGAAATGACGTGACACCGGTGCTCTGTGTCAACTGACTGGTGGGATTGTGGTATCGTGGAAAGAGGCCACAGGTGCTACCCTCATCACACACACAGACCAACACATGCACACACACACACCCCTCCACTGGGATGGATTCTCCATTATCTGTTTATGAGCACCTGTTGAAGTTGAAAGGTTAAAGTTAATGTGGACGACCCCCCCCCCCCCCCCCAAATGCGGTGCTGCAGCAGATGTGTGTGTGTGTTTGGGCAGGTGGTGTGGGGAGTGTGTGTGTGTGTGTTTGGGCAGGTGGTGTGTGGGGTGTGTGTGTGTGTATTCCTCTCTTTTATAAAATTTAGGACAGAACCAGAGGTTATGGACAGTAACATATGCACACTCAAACACACATTGACCCCTCTCTGCAGTTGGCCAATATTACAGCTGACCAAACTTGGCTCACTGGAAGGCTGCTCTTCTGTGCTCTGAGAGGCTGTGGGAGCTCCGTCATGTCCCAGAGTTCAACACTGGAGTGGTTTAGCAAACACATCTCTGTAATAGAGCCCAGAGCCTTTTCCCATCTCTCTCTTTCTCTCTTTCTCTTTAACACTCTCAATTCAATGCAAAGGGCTTTATTGGCATGGGAACATATGTTTACATTGTCAAAGCAAGTGAAATAGATAATAAACTAAAGTGAAATAAACAATTGAAAATGAACAGTAAACATTACACTCACATACGTTTCAAAGGAATAGAGACATTTCAAATGTCATATTATGGATATGTATAGTGTTGTAACGATGTGCCAATAGTCTCTCTTCCCCCTCTCTCTCGCTCTCTATCCCCTCTCTCTCTCTCTACCCCCCCTCTCTCTCTCTCTCTCTCTCGCTCTCTCTCTTCCCTCTCTCTACCCTCTCTCTCTCCCTACCCTCTCTCGCTCTCTCTGCCCTCTCTCTCGCTCTACCCTCTCTCTCGCTCTACCCTCTCTCTCTCCTTACCCTCTCTCTCTCTCTCTCTCTGCCCTCTCTCTCTACCCTCTCACTCTCCCTACCCTCTCTCTCTCTGCCCTCTCTCTCTGTACCCTCTCTCTCTCTCTCTCTCTCTCTCGCTCTTGCTCTTTTTATTTCTGTACTCTCATGCTCTCTCTTTCTGTCACACCTTCATGTCATTAATTCAGATTCCGGAATATAATCTTTCCTTGTTGAGTAAATGTTTCCCAGCCTCATTTGAAACTTCTTGGCTGCGTAGTTACTGTTTGGTCACTCTGTGGTGCCATTCATCTGTTAATGTGTCAAAACGCTTTAGCTAGTTTAGATTCTTTAACATGCTCCCTCTGCACAACACCAGAAAGGATCTATTGTCTGGATTTGTTTTAGGCGAGTAGTGGAATGAGACATTTGGGTAAGAGAAGCATTTGTGCTTCCTGCACAGTGTGTGTGTGTGTGTGTGTGTGTGTGTGTTGCCTTGCCTGTTGATGGTCCTCGAAGGCAAAACAAATTACTTGGACAGCGTAGGTCAGGGAATGGAGGCGGTACTGAAATAAAAAGAGAAGGAAAAATGAATGGCGGCCATTTTTGGTTCCCATCCTCCACCTGATCCACTGACAGTAAATTTTTTTAGCAGTTCTTTGTTTCCAGGAATTTGACTGGTAATCAGTGCAGTCCGTGTGTATATGTGTGACAGATCTGATTTACACGTTGATGTGCTGTTCTTAGTTGAGGGAGCGTGTTAGTTAGCTGAAGCCCTCCTTCATCAACTCTTCATCTCTCCCTCCTTCCCCTCTCTGTTATTTTCTGTCTTGTTTTCCTTGATTTCCTTTTCCTCTCTTGCTCTCTGTCCTGTCTGCTTTCTGTCCCGCTAGCAGTCTATTGAGATGCAGTCTTGAGTGTCTGTTTTCCTCAGCTCTTTAGGACCATTGTCCTTGTCTAGTGAAACTTGGAGAGAGAAGTGCACTCACTGTTTGTTAACGTGTGTGTGTGTGTGTGTGTGTGTGTGTGTGTGTGTCAGGGTTGGGCAACAGTCCGAGTGGGATATGGGAAGCACTGTTTAAGTGAGCTGTGTGTGTGTGCGCCTTCATCAAAGTGTGTGTGTACCTGTGTGTGTGTGAGAGAGACCTGGCAGGGTTCGCTAGAGCCCCAATGGCCTCTCTCAATTAGACACAAAATGTCACCCGAGGTCCCTTTTGTGGCCAGTGAAATGGACGCCATAAAAACACAGCTACAATTGTGTCCATTCTGAGCTGCCAGACTCTTTACACCTCCTCCACTGTTGTTGAGGACCTTCCTCTCTCTCTTTCTCTACTTTTTCCAAGGTATCTCTCTCCTTTTCTGAGGTAGTTTTAAACCAGTGCTGTGTGGGTTTGAGTCTAGCTTGTTGAATAGGGCGTCTCTCCTCCTTTTTCCTGAGGTTGTTTTCAGATGTCTATCTCCCCTCTTCCTGGTTGTTTTCAGATAGAGCTGCAGGATTTCTGTCTGGTTGGTGCAAAGAATGTATCTTCTTCTCTGAGGTCTATCAAACAGTGAGGTTTCAGACTAGTCTGCTCCTGACTAGCAGTGTAAAGGAAAACATATGGTTCAAGAGAAAATGCTTGTTAGAGTGGTTGAATATGACTTGTAGTCAGTTAACTCATTATTTCATGCACCTTGGTTTGACTGCACCACATGTAGCGACTGCAGAAGTGCTGTCAAAGATGACTTTCTGTTAATTGGTGTGTGTGTTGATTGGTTGGTACAGTGAGGAGCACTAGGAGACGTCTTCAGAGGGACACAGATTGGCCTACTTTACTCAAATCCTTATTGACCCAATTTGGAGCTTGGCGGAGCATCCCCCACCTCCAAACACACACATGCCTCCCCCCTACACACTGTTTCCCGCTAGTGCACTCCCACACACCTCTCAATGTTTCTGTCTACAGAGCATGCTCTATTCCTATTGGCTGTGTGGCAGAGGTAAGGAATGGAAGGGCAGCTAGCCATTGTCTAATAAATACACAGTTAAAGGCGGGTCTTTGTTACAATGCTGTGAGAACCAGAATGACACTAGCCAGCCGCCTCTAGCCAGCCGTCTCGACGGGCAACCAACTGGACAACCTCTGGCATGACATGGTCCTTACAGACCGCCCCATAGGGTGCCACTGCTTTCTCACAGGCCATGGGGTGACCCTTATTATGCCAGAATAAAAGCCCTTCTCAGTTTTCCATTTACTGGAGCTATAGTTAACCATCCGTTGACTCCATTGTATGTGGAGTTATAATGTTGATGATTCCTCAAACATAATTAAATGATTCAGATATAACATAGTAAACTGAACAAAAATCTAAACGCAACATGTAAAGAGTTGGTCCCATGTTTCATGAGCTGAAATAAAAGATACCAGAAATGTTCCATATGCACAAAAAGCTTATTTCTCTCAAATGTTGTGCCCAAATTTGTTTACATCCCTGTTAGTGAGCATTTCTCCTTTGCCAAGATAATCCATCCACCTGACAGGTGTGGCATATCAAGAAGCTGATTAAAGGGCATGATCATTACACAGGTGCACCATATGCTGGGGACAATAAAAGGCCACTCTAAAATGTGCAGTTTTGTCACACAACACAATTGTCACGCCCTGGCTCTGGGACTCTGTTATGTTGAGCCAGGGTGTGTAGTTTCTATGTGTTTGTGTTCTAGGTTCTTTATCTAGCTCATGTGTTTCTGTGTTGGCCGGGGTGGTTCTCAATCAGAGGCAACGAGTGTCAGCTGTTGCTTGTTGTCTCTGATTGGGAACCATACTTAGGCAGCCTGTTTTCCACAGTGTTTTGTGGGATCTTGTTCCGTGTTGGTTTTGTGTTGTAAACCAAGGACTTCACGTATCGTTTTGTTGTTTTGTTCGTGTGGGTGAATATAAATAAAAGTATGTTTCGCATATCACGCTGCGCCTTGGTCCACTGTGTTAGACGATCGTGACAACAATGCTTCAGATGTCTCAAGTTTTGAGGGAGCGTGCAATTGGCATGCTGACTGCAGGAATGTCCGCCAGATAATTAAATGTTAATTTCTCTACCATAAGCCGCCTCCAACATCGTTTTAGACGTCCAACCGGCCTCACCGCAGACCATGTGTATGGCATCGTGTGGGCGAGCGGTTTGCTGATGTCAAAGTTATGAACAGAGTGCCCCATGGTGGCGGCGGGGTTATGGTATGGGCAGGCATAAGCTACGGACAACGAACACAATTGCATTTTATCGATGGCAATTTGAATGCACAGAGATACCGTGGCGAGATCCTGAGGCCCATTGTGGTGCCATTCAGCCGCCGCCATTACCTCATGTTTCAGCATGATAATGTATAATGCACAGTCCCATTTCGTAAGGATCTGTACACAATTCCCATGGCCTGCATACTCACCAGACATGTTTGGGATGCTCTGGATCAACGTTTATTTATTTTTATTTTATTTTACCTTTATATAACTAGGCAAGTCAGTTGAGAACAAATTCTTATTTACAATGACGGCCTACACCGGACGACGCTGGGCCAATTGTGTGCCGCCCTATGGGACTCCCAATCACGGCCGGTTGTGATACAGCCTGGAATCGAACCAGGGGGTCTGTAGTGATGCCTCAAGCACTGAGATGCAGTGCCACTCGGGACAGCGTGTTCAGTTTTCCGCCAATATCCAGCAACTGAAGAGGAGTGGAACAACTTTCCACAGGCCACAATCAACAGCCTGATCAACTCTATACAAAGGAGACGTCACACCAGATACTGACTGGTTTTCTGATCCACGGCCCTACCTTTAAAAAAAAAAAAAAATGTTGTGACCAACAGATGCATATCTGTATTCCCATCTCATGTGAAATCCGTAGATTAGGGCCTTATTTATTTATTTAAATTGACTGATGTCCTTATATGATCTAACTGTAACTCAGTAAAATCTTTGAAATTGTTGCATATTGCGTTTATATTTTTGTATATTTAACATGGACCACTTTGGAAACAAGCGTTTTAATTAATACTTTCCTCTGGGTCCACATTGTACATTTTGTTGTATATGTCTGTTACCCAAAATAAATTCAATAAAAAAATCAAGAGTTAAGTCTAGTTGCTGTGGTAGGCAGTTAAGGTTTAATGCAGCGCTAGATAGTATGTGTGTATACTCTGTAGTGGTAGTTGAGGGTTAAATCTGGTTGCTGTGCAGTGCTAGGCAGTATTATGGTCTGTAGTGGTAGTTAAGGGTTAAGTCTGGTTTCCATGGTAGGTAGTTAAGGGTTAAGTCTGGTTGGCAATATTATGCAAGCTGCAGAGCAGAGAGAGAGGAAGAGTGGAAGTGCATTACAGAATGCTGAGCTCAGGGCTCTGGCACACCGCCAAGCCTCTCCACACACACACACACACACACACACACACACACACACACACACACACACACACTCAGCTGAGGGCTTTCCAAGCTTCCCACCAGCCCAGCAGTCTCCTACCCGGTTTAGGAATTCTCTCTGCCTCTCCCTCCCTCCCTGTTTTTCTCTCCTTCTCCCTCCTACCTCTCCCTCCCTATGTCTTTGCCTTCCTCTCCCTCTTCTCTCTCTGATGTCAGTAGTTCAGCTGTGGGCCATGCATGACTCGGGTTGGGCCATACAGACTGCTCTTTCTGTGTTGTGTGTGTGTGTGTGTGTGTGTGTGTGTGTGTGTGTGTGCGTGCAAACTGTTACATTGTGGAGCAACTGCCAACTGGGGATGTACAGTATGTGCATGTGTGCGAGTGTGGGTGTGTGTTACACAAACTGATGTGATGTGTGTGTGTGTGCGAGAGAGTGCGGATGTGTGTCAGTGTGTGAAACGTGATCCCTTGTGTTGTTGTGTCAGCTGACTGCTAGGCAGGAAATGGAGGAGTAAAAGAAGGCGGGTTCTCTTTCGCTCTAAACCTCTCTCTGGCTGCATTTCAAACTAAAGTAGACAGCCCTCGGCCCTAAACCCTCAGCCCTTGAATGACGTTTTACATCGTCACTTCGTCACATCTGAGTGTACCTTAAATGTCCCTTTCCCAAGCCAGGGAGTGATGATCGGAGAGGCAACGTCCTTGGTGGAAATCTTGAAGTTGAACTTAAAAACAACCAACCTAAAGCTATTAATGTACCTTGCAAGCTAACGTAGCTAGCTAGCACTCCTGTCAGGTAGCTAGCTAGCTACAGTTACCCATAGCTGGCTAGCTAGTTTTATAGTTTGGTAATTTATTCCAATACATTTCAGAATTCCCAAAAAATATGTTTATTTTATTTCATTTTTATTTCACCTTTATTTTACCAGGTAAGCCAGTTGAGAACAAGTTCTCATTTACAACTGCGACCTGGCCAAGATAAAGCAAAACAGTGCGATAAAAACAACAACAACACAGAGTTACATATATGGGATAAACAAAACGTACAGTCAAAAACACAATAGAAAATCTATATACAGTGTGTGCAAATGTAGTAAGTTATGGAGGTAGGGCAATAAATAGGCCATAGTGCAAAATAATTTAGTATTAACACTGGAGTGATAGATGTGCAGAAGATGATGTGCAAATAGAGATACTGGGGTGCAAATGAGCAAAATAAATAACAATATGGGGATGAGGTAGTTGGGTGGGCTAATTACAGATGGGCTGTGTACAGGTGCAGTGATCAGTAAGCTTCTCTGACAACTGATGCTTAAAGTTAGTGAGGGAGATAAGAGTCTCCAGCTTCAGAGATTTTTGCAGTTCGTTCCAGTTATTGGCAGCAGAGAACTGGAAGGAATGGCGGCCAAAGGAGGTGTTGGCTTTGGGGATGACCAGTGAGATATACCTGCTGGAGTGCATACTACGGGTGGGTGTTGCTATGGTGACCAATGAGCTAAGAAAAGGCGGGGAATTGCCTAGCAGTGATTTATAGATAACCTGGAGCCAGTGGGTTTGGCGACGAATATGTAGTGAGGGCCAGCCAACGAGAGCGTACAGGTCACAATGGTGGATAGTATATGGGGCTTTGGTGACAAAATGTATGGCACTGTGATAGACTACATCCAATTTGCTGAGTATAGCGTTGGAGGCTATTTTGTAAATGACATTGCCGAAGTCAAGGATCGGTAGGATAGTCAGTTTTACAAGGGCATGTTTGGCAGCATGAGTGAAGGAGGCTTTGTTGCGAAATAGGAAGCCGATTCTAGATTTAACTTTGGATTGGAGATGCTTAATGTGAGTCTGGAAGGAGAGTTTACGGTCTAACCAGACACCTAGGTATTTGTAGTTGTCCACATATTCTAAGTCAGACCCGCCGAGAGTAGTGATTCTAGTCGGGCGGGCGGGTGCAAGCAGCGTTCGATTGAAGAGCATGCATTTAGTTTTACTAGCGTTTAAGAGCAGTTGGAGGCTACGGAAGGAGTGTTGTATGGCATTGAAGCTCGTTTGGAGGTTTGTTAACACAGTGTCCAATGAAGGGCCAGATGTATACAAAATGGTGTCGTCTGCGTAGAGGTGGATCTGAGAGTCACCAGCAGCAAGAGCGACATCATTGATATACACAGAGAATAGAGTCGGCCCGAGAATTGAACCCTGTGGCACCCCCATAGAGACTGCCAGAGGTCCAGACAACAGGCCCTCCGATTTGACACATTGAACTCTATCTGAGAAGTAGTTGGTGAACCAGGTGAGGCAGTCATTTGAGAAACCAAGGCTATTTAGTCTGCCAATAAGAATGCGGTGATTGAGTGAGTCGAAAGCCTTGGCCAGGTCGATGAAGACGGCTGCACAGTACTGTCTTTTATCAATCTCGGTTATAATATCGTTTAGTACCTTGAGCGTGGCTGAGGTGCACCCATGACCAGCTCGGAAACCAGTTGCATAGCGGAGAAGGTACTGTGGGATTCGAAATGGTCGGTGATCTGTTTGTTAACTTGGCTTTCAAATACTTTCGAAAGGCAGGGCAGGATGGATATAGGTCTGTAACAGTTTGGATCTATAGTGTCACCCCCTTTGAAGAGGGGGATGACCGCGGCAGCTTTCCAATCTCTGGGGATCTCAGACGATACGAAAGAGAGGTTGAACAAGCTAGTAATAGGGGTTGCGACAATTTCGGCGGCTAATTTTAGAAAGAAAGGGTCCAGATTGTCTAGCCCAGCTGATTTGTAGGGGTCCAGATTTTGCAGCTCTTTCAGAACATCAGCTGTCTGAATTTGGGTGAAGGAGAAGTGGGGGGTGCATGGGCAAGTTGCAGCAGAGGGTGCAGAGCTGGTGGCCGGGGTAGGGGTAGCCAAGTGGAAAGCATGGCCAGCCGTAGCAAAATGCTTGTTGAAATTCTCGATTATCGTAGATTTATCGGTGGTGACTGTGTTTCCTAGCCTCAGTGCAGTGGGCAGCTGGGAGGAGGTGCTTTTATTCTCCATGGACTTTACAGTGTCCCAAAACTTTTTGGAGTTAGTGCTACAGGATGCAAATTTCTGTTTGAAAAAGCTAGCCTTTGCTTTCCTAACTGATTGTGTATATTGGTTCCTGACTTCCCTGAAAAGTTGCATATCGCGGGGGCTGTTCAATACTAATGCAGTACGCCACAGGTTGTTTTTGTGCTGGTCAAGGGCAGTCAAGTCTGGGGTGAACCAGGGGCTAGATCTGTTCTTAGTTCTGATTTTTTTGAATGGGGCATACTTACTTAAGATGGAGATGAAAGCACTTTTGAAGAACAACCAGGCAACCTCTACTGACGGAATGAGGTCAATATCCATCCAGGATACCCGGGCCAGGTCAATTAGAAAGGCCTGCTCGCTAAAGTGTTTTAGGGAGCGTTTGACAGTGATGAGGGGTGGTCGTTTGACCGCGGACCCATTACGGACGCAGGCAATGAGGCAGTGATCGCTGAGATCCTGGTTGAAGACAGCGGAGGTGTATTAGGGGGTAAATTAGTCAGGATGATATTTATGAGGGTGCTCATTTATATGGATTTAGGGTTGTACCTGGTAGGTTCCTTGATAATTTGTGTGAGATTGAGGGCATCTAGTTTAGATTGTAGGACGGCCGGTGTGTTAAGCATATCCCAGTTTAGGTCACCAAGCAGTACGAACTCTGAGGATAGATGGGGGGCAATCAATTCACATATGGTGTCCAGGGCACAGCTGGGGGCTGAGGGGGGTCTGTAGCAAACGGCAACAGTGAGAGACTTATTTCTGGAAAGGTAGATTTTTAGAAGTAGAAGCTCAAACTGTTTGGGCACAGACCTGGATAGTATGATAGAGGTCTGCAGGCTATCTCTACAGTAGATTGCAACTCCGCCCCCTTTGGGACGGAAAATGTTGTAGTTGGGGATGGAAATTTCTGAATTTTTGTGGCCTTCCTAAGCCAGGATTCGGACACTGCGAGAACATCAGTGTTGGCTGAGTGTGCTAACGCAGTGAATAACTGCCTCTACATCACCAGAGGAACAGAGGAGGAATAGAATAAGGATACGGCTAAAGGCTTTTTTATTTTCTTTATTTTTGTCATTTAGCAGACGTTCTTATCCAGAGCGACTTACAGGAGCAATTAGGGTTTAGTGCCTTGCTCAAGGGCACATCGACAGATTTTTCACCTAGTCGGCTCGGGGATTAGAACCAGCATTCGTTTACTGGCACAATGCTCTTAACCACTAAGCTACCTGCCGAAGAACTGGTCTTCTAGTGCGTTGGGTACAGAGAATTAAAGGGGCAGATTTCCGGGCAATGTAGAATAGATTCAGGGCATTATGTACAGACAAGGATATGAGTACAGTGGAGGTAAACCTAAGCGTAGGGTAACGATGAAAGAGATAGCATCACTGGAGGCACCGATTATGAAGCTAGCTACGTTTTATAGGCTCCTCACTACGAAACTAAGCCAATTTGCCAACGCTAAATTTCAATGTCATCTATATATATGTTTTAGCAAGCTAGTGTCATAATGTTGTCTGACATGCAGAAAATGTAGTCGTGTTGATTAAATGTGACACTTTGCGGCCACCGTAGTTTGACATGTGACCACAGTTTGCATTGAATTGTGGGTCATATCAACCCCATAAGTGATCAAAGTTCTTCACTCGCTCCCTCGAGCTAAATCGAGGGTCGAGGGGGCAAAGTTTATGAATTGGACCTCCACTTAAGATGGCAATCAAACTGCATCCGGTTTTTGACGGGGTTTCCCCCAAGGAAAAGTGGCTAGTGTGAGGGCTGAGGGGGTAAAAATAACATGTTTGGACTGCATCCGCTGTCTCTCTTTGCTCACTGCTCTCTCTCGCTCTCTTTGTCACTCTCACATGATTTGCTACCTCTCTCTTGCTCTCTCTCTCTGCTTTTTTTCTCTCTCTCTCTCTCTCTCTCTCTCTCTCTCTCTCCCTCTCTCTCTCTCTCCCGTCTTCTGTTAGTCAGGTCTTCCAGTTGGTCAGTGTGAATTTCCTGCATTCTGATTGAGCAAAAGCCTGTTGAGAGAACCGAAACCTGTACGTGTGTTCTTTTTTCCTGTGTGTGTATTTTCATTGCACGCACATGTGTGTGCTGTCTCCCAGACCTCCCTTGTGACAGTTACTGAATTCTTGTAAAATCTCACTCACTCAATCTATCTCAGACCATTAGGCCTATTTGTTTCCCTTGGGCTGTAGTTGAAGTATCTGGCTAACCATATTAACATTTCTCCAGACTCAAGTGCCCTGCTTAAGCACTGATTTAGGATCAGCTTAGCCAGATCAAGGCCTAACCTGAACCCTTAAGAGATTTAGGGCAAAGCTGACCTTAGATCCACGCTGTAGGACCATCTGAGGCTTTTCACACTAAGCTGTGGACGGTCGGTCGTATAGAGATACCATTTCGGCAATATGAGACTCATCAAGGGTTCTCGGTAGAGAGCCATGAAAGTAGCAATGTGATACGGTAGCACTATAGACTGTTGAAATATCATATGTGGCCAGGGGAGCCCCACTACACAGAAGAACATGAGATAGACCCTCTAGTACTGGGAAGCAGACCCTTTCTCCTCCTAGTGTACAGTATGTGTTTGTACTTTGAGAAAGCCCAAAATAAAACGAAGGACTTAATTTGGTGTTCTCCTTTCTCTTCTTCACCTCAGGGAATAATGGCACTGGAAGGAGTTTTACGGGCTCCTGACCAATTGTGCTATTTTGTGTGTTTTTTTGGCGCTGATCTTAACCTTTTTTGTACATAATGTTTCCGCCATAATTTCCTATGACCGAAAAGAGCTTCTGGACATCAGAACAGCGATCACTAACCTCGATTTGGATGAAGATTTCTACTTCAATGAGTCAGAGGCAAATTACATACTGCTCATCCCGGACCAGGCCCGAATTCCCAACACTCAAAGGAGGAATAGGTGCCGTTATAGAGGCCGGCGAGCGGGATACCTGACGAGACTACATAAACCGCCTCTACCCTCTGTTCTATTGGCGAACATGCAATCACTGGAGAATAAACTGGACGAGCTCCGTTCGAGGCTATCGTATCAACTTGATCTGAAGAACCATAATATCCTTTGTTTCTCAGAGTCGTGGCTGAACAAGGACAAATCGAGCAGTTTTTTTCTATACATCAGCAGGACAGAATGGCAGAGTTGGGCAAACTCGGGGGATGGTGTGTGTCTCTCATTGTTTACAACAGCTGGTGTGCGATCTCTAATATTAAGGAGGTATCGAGGTTCTGCTCACCTGAGTTAGAATACCGCATGATAAGCTGTAGACCACCCAGAGTGCCACCCACGGCTGCGTGGCCGCGCATGACTCCAACACCATCATTAAGTTTGCTGATGACACGGCGCTGGTAGGCCTGATCGTGGACTGCAGAAAACGGAGGGCCGAGCACGCCCCCATGCACATCGACAGGGCTGTAGTGGAGTGGGTGGCAAGCGGTACCGGAGCGCCAAGTCTGGGACCAAAAAGCTCCTGAACAGCTTCTACCCCCAAGCCATAAGACTGCTGAACAGTTAATCATTGATCCCCTTTTTATTTGCACTGACTCTCATGCACCAACTCTATGCACACTCACTGGACTCTACCCACACACTCACATACTGCACTGACACTCCAACACACACACACACACACACACTACATACGCTCACACACACAATTTTGTATTCTGCATTGTTGGGAAAGGGCTCGTAAGTAAGCATTTCACGGTAAGGTCTACACCTGTTGTATTCGGGTCATGAGACAGATACAATTTTATTTGAAACCTGAACACAGTGGCGGGAACACATGGATTGGTAGAATATATGGATTGGTTGTTTTACTGTTGGGTCATGGTGTGTGGGTGTGTGAGAGTGAGAGAGATGTGACGTAGTATGCAATTTCCGGGGACCACTTTTGGCTCGTGAGTGCTACTTTCAGAACTACTGGCTAAAAGGTATACAAAAGTACCAGAGAATCTCTTTAAATCCTCTCTATATATGGCTATCTAGAGCCTATTGTTCTCCTGTCCTCTCTACATTTTACATTTGTCATTTAGTAGACGCTCTTATCCAGAGCGACTTACAGTTAGTGCATTCATCTTAAGATAGCTAGGTGGGACAACCACATCACATTCATAGTAAGTAAATTTTTCCTCAATAAAGTAGCTATCAGCATAGAGCTAGTAAGGGGAGGGGGGAGTCAAGTGCGAGTGTTAGCATGGCTGTCTAGAGCAGGGATTGGCAACTGTTGGTCCGCGGACCAGTTTTTTTGGGGAGGGGGGACTCAATCAGGGTCTTAACTTACTGTTGAGAGTTAGACAGTGGCGGCTCCTGAAAAAATTCTCAGGAGGGGCAATTTTTCTGATGATTTAGGTGACCTACACACATTTTTAAAAAGATATGTCCAGCAACAACATGAAGACAGGGGCAGCATATAAGTCAATACCAGAAGCATTTATTGACTGATCTCAAAAGTGTTGGCTTACAAAAGCAAAATAAGTTATCACAGTAAAAATAATCAAGGGTGTTCTTTCACATTCCTCAACACTGCATAAACAATATGTATGGCTTTGTAAAAATGAACAACCATATTCTGGCCAATTGTATAGATTTGTAAATATGAACAACCATATTCTGGCCAATTGTATAGATTTGTAAAAATGAACATGAACAGATTTTTTATTTTTTTGAATGGCAGTACCTTTCAAACATGTCTGCTTGCAGTAAGGTAGCACTCACAAGGTGGCCAGAGAAAGAGAACCTTTCTTTGGTGTGATCCAGGATGGTGTTGCAGACCTCTTCAGACAGCCTCTGCTTCTCCTCTTCTCTCAAAGCTGTTCTGGGTCTTTTGGCTCCTGTTGCTTCTTGCAGCTGCTGTTGAGAGGAGTCCCTGAAGGCAAACAGACCAATGTGTTTGTTGGCTTTGTACAGTATTGTTGTCTATGTGATGCACAGGTATATGCAATGTATCCATGTACAGTGGGGAAAAAAAGTATTTAGTCAGCCACCAATTGTGCAAGTTCTCCCACTTACAAAGATGAGAGAGGCCTGTAATTTTCATCATAGGTACACGTCAACTATGACAGACAAATTGAGAAAAAAAAATCCAGAAAATCACATTGTAGGATTTTTAATGAATTTATTTGCAAATTATGGTGGAAAATAAGTATTTGGTCACCTACACACAAGCAAGATTTCTGGCTCTCACAGACCTGTAACTTCTTCTTTAAGAGGCTCCTCTGTCCTCCACTCGTTACCTGTATTAATGGCACCTGTTTGAACTTGTTATCCGTATAAAAGACACCTGTCCACAACCTCAAACAGTCACACGCCAAACTCCACTATGGCCAAGACCAAAGAGCTGTCAAAGGACACCAGAAACAAAACTGTAGACCTGCACCAGGCTGGGAAGACTGAATCTGCAATAGGTAAGCAGCTTGGTTTGAAGAAATCAACTGTGGGAGCAATTATTAGGAAATGGAAGACATACAAGACCACTGATAATCTCCCTCGATCTGGGGATCCACGCAAGAGCTCACCCCGTGGGGTCAAAATGATCACAAGAACGGTGAGCAAAAATCCCAGAACCACATGGGGGGACCTAGTGAATGACCTGCAGAGAGCTGGGACCAAAGTAACAAAGCCTACCATCAGTAACACACTACGCCGCCAGGGACTCAAATCCTGCAGTCCCCCTGCTTAAGCCAGTACATGTCCAGGCCCGTCTGAAGTTTGCTAGAGTGCCTTTGGATTATCCAGAAGAGGATTGGGAGAATGTCATATGGTCAGATGAAACCAAAATATAACTTTTTGGTAAAAACTCAACTCGTCGTGTTTGGAGGACAAAGAATGCTGAGTTGCATCCAAAGAACACCATACCTACTGTGAAGCATGGGGGTGGAAACATCATGCTTTGGGGCTGTTTTTCTGCAAAGGGACCAGGACGACTGATCCGTGTAAAGGAAAGAATGAATGGGGCCATGTATCGTGAGATTTTGAGTGAAAACCTCCTTCCATCAGCAAGGGCATTGAAGATGAAACGTGGCTGGGTCTTTCAGCATGACAATGATCCCAAACACACCGCCCGGGCAACGAAGGAGTGGCTTCGTAAGAAGCATTTCAAGGTCCTGGAGTGGCCTAGCCAGTCTCCAGATCTCAACCCCATAGAAAATCTTTGGAGGGAGTTGAAAGTCTGTGTTGCCCAGCGACAGCCCCAAAACATCACTGCTCTAGAGGAGATCTGCATGGAGGAATGGGCCAAAATACCAGCAACAGTGTGTGAAAACCTTGTGAAGACTTACAGAAAACGTTTGACCTGTGTCATTGCCAACAAAGGGTATATAACAAAGTATTGAGAAACTTTTGTTATTGACCAAATACTTATTTTCCACCATAATTTGCAAATAAATTCATTAAAAATCCTACAATGTGATTTTCTGGATATTTTTTCCTCATTTTGTCTGTCATAGTTGACATGTACCTATGATGAAAATTACAGGCCTCTCTCATCTTTTTAAGTGGGAGAACTTGCACAATTGGTGGCTGACTAAATACTTTTTTTCCCCACTGTATAGTACAAATACTTCAGTTCCACTTAAAATGGGCAGGGATGCATAAAGTCTTTAGTGTTTAAGTTAGCCTTTGTGTCTCACATAGCCTGGATGTTCAGCACAGTATACAGTGGTGCTCATAAGCTTATGATCCCATGCTAAAGTTGACTAAAAAGAGGAATAAAAAAGAAAAGAAAATTGGTGTCCTTAAAGGTTGGATTTTCCAACTTTTTTAATTAAGTCATTAAGATCAATTTCCAAAAGATTATTTTTTTATTCCTCTTTTTAGTCAGCTTTAGAATGTGTTCATACACTTATGAGCACCACTGTACAGTACACATAGTATATAAAATAAGATAGATTACACCACTGGCCATATATAATGAGAATAATGTAATTTCAAACACAAATGCAGTCTCCTTTCATGCATACATTTTCAAATAAAGCTCTGCTTTGAGAAAGATCGAATGATATTGTTTAATCTTTATCTTACCTTATGGCCTGCACACTGCTTGCGAAGCTGTCGAGGGCACGTTTGATAAAGACAGCATCGATGTCCTTCTTCTGTAGCTTCTGGTACGGTGGGCTGGTCAAATGAACCCAATGAACCCGTCCGGATGGCTTCAAAACATTCTATGAGGTCGTCTCGATTCTCGTAGACAGTGTTCACGACTCTGCTGTTGCTAACCTCATCGTTGTGGCGGCGGACAGCTAGCCTGTATCCCTCATCCAGTTGAGTGGCAATATTCACTCTCACCAAAGCAGACAATCTCAAACAGCTATCAATGTGGGTCTTTGACAGCTCATTTTTCTTAATCTTTTCTGAAAGATGGTGCATGTCGGTTACACCAGTCGCTGTCCAAGCGTTGCTGTCTGCCGTTCATGGTTACGTTACGTTACGTATGACGAAAGCGCGTAAGTGCAAGCCCTCAGACACCCATAGAGAATGTATTGAAAGCTCAGGAATTTGAAAAAAAAATATTTTACATTAGAGGCTATGAGAGACTTCTGGGCGATTTTCAACCTGACTGAAATCGCCCCAAAACGGGCGGGGACATTTGAAGCACGACTTTAGCCTGATTGGACATTTAGTGGCTGGCAGATCAAACGTGAACACTGAACTACTGTTGCCGTGATATAATTGATTAGAAAAAAAATCCCTTCCTTTTCCCGTTTGGCAGTGCGTCGCCCATATCGCCCTATTGAACACACCGCCCATGGAGTTAGAATAATAGAATACACAAGGTGCAAGTTCGAAATTTGGTTGTGCATCAGCAGTCACTTAATTAGCCTATGTCAGCAAAAACATAATCGATTGGTAAGTTAGTCTAGCGGCCAGCTATCTAAACTTGTAGTAAGCATGGTTGAATTACCGACGGGTGGGGCCCATTTGATCATCAGTTATCATATTAAAAACTGCAAACATTTGCCTCCACCCTATGGCAGAATGTGTAGAATTACAGGAAATTAACTTTAAAACGTATTTTTGTGTCACAATTGGGGCCGCTAAAATGTTTTGCTCGCTGCTGCAACACAGGGAGCATATTGACTGGCTGCATCACCTCTTGGACTCTACCCACACATACTACACTGACACTTTCACACGTCACATACGCTGCTGCTACTCTGTTTATTAGCTATCCTGATTGCCTAGTCACTGTAAAACTCCTAATGGGGGGAGGGGGGGGTATGGATGTGGGCACGCAGACCCACGAGCCACTGCGGCCCCTCATGATGCGTTCCGTTTTTTTGTGGCCCCCACCCACATCAAAGATGTCCATCGCTGGTCTAGAGCCTATTGGTCTCCTGTTCACTCTAGCATGGCCATTTTAGATCCAATTTGTCTTCTGTCCTCTCTAGAGTTAACTGGTCTGAACCCAGGCCAACCAGACATGATTTATGGTGGCCATTTTGAGGGCCTCTCAGTGATGTCCGTATCTCATAAGTCCTGGCTGTCAGTGTGGTTTTCTGAGGCCTGCTGCGTTATCAGCAGGAAAAGACTTCCTCCCTGACATTTTTCTTCATTTTCCATATGTGTGTGCATTGTGCAGCGTTGAATGGGTGTAGGTGTATATGTGGTGGTGATGGTGTGTGTTTGTGAGGAGGTATAGTGGCATAGGTAAGCATTGGGATGTGTTGTGGAAAGGAAATGAGAATGTTTAACTCTTTCATCTCGCTGGCTCTCTCCTGCCTGACTGAAGATGATCAAATCAAATTTTATTGGTCACATACATATATTTAGCAGATGTTATTGCGAGTGTAGCGAAATGCTTGTGTGTAGCGAAATGGTTGTATGTGGTGTGTGTGTGTGTGTGGGCCCTAAAGGGGTGTGTGTGTGTGTGTGTGTGTGTGACCAGTGAGTGACCTCTCAGCCAGAGAATGCCATGTTTCATGTTTTTAGAAAATAGAAGACTGGTGCTATCTAGTGGAGAATAGGAAGTGTGTGTGTGTGTGTGTGTGTGCAGGGCTGTGTGGGGGCCGTGTGTGTGTGTGAAGGCTGAGCTCTATTGCATTAGGAGATCGACACACTAGAGATCAGCAGTTTGACCTTTTCCCCAGAGAGAGAAAGGAGAGACATCTTCAGGGACTGCTCTTTCTCTTCCTCCCCCTCTTGCTGTTATAGTCTGACTAGTAGCTAGCTGGTACATTTACATTTACATTTACGTCATTTAGCAGACGCTCTTATCCAGAGCGACTTACAAATAGGTGCATTCACCTTATAGCCAGTGGGATCACCACTTTACAATGTTTTTTTTGTTTTTTTGTTTTTGGGTTGGGGTTTGGGTTGGGGTAAGGGGGGGTAGAAGGATTACTTTATCCTATCCCAGGTATTCCTTAAAGAGGTGGGGTTTCAAATGTCTCCGGAAGGTGGTGAGTGACTCCGCTGTCCTGGCGTTGTGAGGGAGCTTGTTCCACCATTGGGGTGCCAGAGCAGCGAACAGTTTTGACTGGGCTGAGCGGGAACTATGCTTCCGCAGAGGTAGGGGAGCCAGCAGGCCAGAGGTGGATGAACGCAATGCCCTCGTTTGGGTGTAGGGACTGATCAGAGCCTGAAGGTACGGAGGTGCCGTTCCCCTCACAGCTCCGTAGGCAAGCACCATGGTATTGTAGCAGATGCTAGCAATGGGTCTTCTTCACATATAAGGTTACTACAAGCATAACTCCGTTGATCTACGTGCGTGTGTGCACGTGGGTGAAGTGGGATTGTTGGAGGAAATAGATACAGTTACATATCGGGATGTTATTTTTGATGATTTTTGAAATGTCATTTCGCAATATCATTTTTGCACTAGTTGGCTGTACCTGCACCAAAACTCCAGTGTTTTTCCATCATAGCTAACTCCATCTTTTAAAATATTTGTTTTCAGCTCTTTTATTTCCATGATGACTGATCAAAACATAGAATCGCAATACATATTCATAGATTGCATGTTTCGTCACAATATTGCTTTGGACTGATGCCCAACTGAGAATTCTACTCAATGCGTCGTCAATGAGCGCATCAGTGGCTTGGAAATGCAATGCCATTCAAAAACAGGCAAATAATTAGAAGGAAAACCTTTTGTCATCAGATTGACTTTAGATGCAGTATGACCAAAGATTTGTATAACTAAGATAGACCACAGCCTGTCGTTTCAATTGGAACAAGTTAGTCAGTGGGCAGAGCCAAGCACGAGCTAACGAGATCCTATTGGTGCGTTCTAGCATACATTTTCATATTTCCGTTAGGGAACGCCTACTCTGTGAAGTGCGCGTGTGCAATGACTCAATTCGCCTTTGCACTCCTTCTAAACAACACAAGTTTTTACAACTTTGACAAAGGGTAAAGTCTACAAACCTTTGTCCACTCTGTTCTAAACAGATTTTATTTTTGGAAACAGAAAACGGTATTTAGATCAAATGTTTCATTATTGAGAAATTTGCAGAATGTCGGCCAAAATCCATCTCGTTCCATCTTCTCCCACTGCCGGCCACTGGGCTTTCTCTCACTACCATATTTGGTAGTGTGGAAACGTCAAGCGGATGCTTCACATTTATACGTCCAGTGAAATATCTGTCTCATTGTTCTATCTGTGGTATAACATTAGCTAGTTAGCTAAGATTGAGGGGAGGACACAGAATTTTAGCTAGCTAAAGTTAGCATTGCTAGCTAATGACAACATTGCCATCTGTCTAAAATAAATTAGCCATGATAATTCTGGCAAAGTTGTTTCCTACTAAACATTTGACTGCTTTAGCAATGTCATCGTATTTCCAGGCAGGCTAAACAGTCGTTAGCCTTCATCAATAATGACTGGGCTTATCACGACTTTAGGGCACCACTATTGCGTCGCCGGTAGAGCGCAGCTTGGAGAACATTCATAACAATGGCATGACGCGACTGAGTGACGGAGGTGCAACCTATAAATAGAAACGTGATAATCTCAATACATATCGTATCTGCATCTAAGTATTGTGATAATATAGTATCGTGAGGTCCCGGGCAATTCCCAGCCCTAGTAATCGGTAGTTGTTACTTCTAAACAAAATACATTTTTAGGTGGATTCTTGATGTTTGGTTTACTGTTTGAACAGTCACTGAGATTATATTTGGTTATCAATGCAAAATAGGCTACTTGGATGAATAGCCCTATATAGCCTATAGGTCAGATCAAGGAACCAAGCGACAACACTGCCCCCACGGCTGCAGAAGGAATGATACCGCGTGTCTCAATTTCCAGGTAGTAAAAAAGTACATTGAATTCTGGAGCATATTACAAGGAGCCGCCCCTTTTGTGATGAAAAACGACATTGCAACACTCCGAATCTTGCGTCTGCGAAGAGCTTGAGTAAGCAATAGGCTAGTGAGCCACACACTAACAGAGATGTTATGACAAGAACATTAATGCCATTGTGCTGTTCAAATATTTAGAACGTGAGTTTCTGTCAAGTACTTTTGTGTAAAACTGTTAGGCTACGTGAATACAATTTGATTCATTGAGTACTTGATTGATTGTCTAATGGTTTGTCTTTTTTCTCCTCGCAGGGTTCCACCTCAGCGGAACGGTAACAGAACCGGCCACAGCGTCGGAACCCGAGCTTGTCTGCAGTGTCAGCGTCAGCTTCGACCGCTGCAAGATCACCGCGGTAACGTGCGGCTGCGGCAACAAGGACATCTTCTACTGTGCCCATGTTGTAGCGCTGGCCTTGTACCGTGTACGGAAGCCCGAGCAGGTCAAACTACACCTGCCCATCTCAGAGACGCTGTTCCAGATGAATAGAGACCAGCTGCAGAAGTTTGTCCAGTACCTGATAACAGTACACCACACGGAGGTGCTGCCCACTGCTCAGAAACTAGCTGATGAGATTCTGTCTACCAACTCTGAGATCAACCAGGTCCACGGTGAGTGGGGTGGGTGATGTGTAGAAGAGAGAAATGTGTGATGAAGAAAAGGTGTGTGTGTGAGTGTGTGTGCCAGGAAATGATTTCCCCCTGTCTGGCTCCAGTAAAGCAGAACACTGGAGAGGGAAACACTTTGATCAAGCCACGTCCATATGAGCGCTCAACAGTAATGTAGGACGTGGGGAAGTGTGTGTGATGATACTTTAGACCCACTTTACTTAAGCCGGTATCATTTTGTTCATCTTGTTCAGTTTTTGTTTGAGACATAGAGCCCAGTGCTTTCACTGAATGATTTTCCATTTCTCAACCTAAATGATGAGCACTGTGTGTGTGTCTCAACTAACCTGTGTGTGTGTGTGTGTGTGTGTGTGTGTGTGTGTGTGTGTGTGTAGGAGCCCCGGACCCCACGGCAGGGGCCAGTGTAGATGATGAGAACTGCTGGCACCTGGATGAGGAGCAGGTCCAGGAGCAGGTGAAACTCTTCCTCTCTCAGGGAGGATACCACGGCTCTGGGAAACAACTCAACCTTCTCTTCAGCAAGGTAACACACACGCACACCAGGATTGGGGTGAATTCGAATTGAAGTCAGTCAATTCAGGAAGTAAAGTAAACTGACATTCCAATTCAATAATTGAAAAAATGGATTTTTTCCAATGACTTCTCAATAAATGGAAAATTATGTATTTCAAAACGTGTTCCATTTTAAAAATGTGTATTATTCAAATCACTTCCTGAATTGACTGCCTTCAATTTGAATTGACCCCAGCCCTGACACTCACGTACGTACGTACACACACACACACACACACACACACACACATGCATGCATACACCTTTGATGACCTCTCTCTCCCTCTCTCCCCCTCTCTCTTTCTCCTCTAGGTGAGAGAGATGTTGAAGATGCGTGACTCCAACGGTGCCAGGATGTTAACGCTGATCACAGAACAGTTTATGGGCGACCCTCGCCTGGCACTGTGGAGACAACAGGGAACCACCATGACTGACAAATACAGACAGCTGTGGGATGAGCTAGGTAAGAGACAACACACACAAAGTCACACAAACGTGAGCACGAGGACAGACGTCACTTGGATGGACTAGCCGTTCAAGAGAGAGGGAACATGCACACATATAATGGTCACACAAGTGTTGTTGTGAGCACATGATGACTGTTTGATTTGTGTGTTGGTCAGCTGTGTTAAACCTGTATCTCCCTATACTTTCTGATATGACGGCTGCTTGTATGCTGGTGTGTGTGTCAGGAGTGTATTGCCAGTCTGTTATGTTTTGGGCATTATCTGTAGGGTGTGAGCTGGGTGTTTTGTGAAATATATGCTTTTTACAGCCTAAAATGGATTCGGAGATTGTGAGCTGGGTATTTTCTCTCTCTCTCTCAGAACAGATGAGATGTGGGCTGAAGGCTCAGAGTAGGCCCATCAAAGGAAATTAAGGGTGATGGGGTGAAATGTGAGGGAGTGTGTGTGTGTCAGGAGCTAAATATTGATGAGCCCAATATTGTTTTAATGAATGTGTGTGTTTGATCCTTTGTAGTCTGAGACACTGGTTCTCATCTGGCTTAGGTTGGAGAGGAGAGGGAGAAATATAGGCCAAGCTTTCTCACTGCTGACGCGCGTGTGTGTGTGTGCGCGTGTGTGTGCGTGCGCGTGTGTGCGTGTGTAAGCTCACAGGGCCCTACACACACACACTCACTCCATCATCTGCTCACTTGCACATAATATGCACTTACAGTGCAGTCGGAAGGTATTCAGACCCCTTTACTTTTTCCACATTTTGTTACGTTACAGCCTTATTCTGAAATGGATTAAATAGTTTTTTCCCCACATCAATCTACACGCAATACCCCATAATGACAAAGCAAAAACAGGTTTTTAGAACTTTTTGCAAATTTATTAAAACTCAAAAATACATTTGCATAAGTATTCAGACCCTTTACTCAGTACTTTGTTGAAGCACCTTTGGCAGCGATTACAGCCTCAAGTCTTATTCGATATGACGCTACAAGCTTGGCACATGTGTATTTGGTGAGTTTCTCCCATTCTTCTCTGCAGATCCTCTCAAGCTCTGTCAGGTTGGATGGGGAGCGTTGCTGCACAGCTATTTTCAGGTCTCTCCAGAGATGTTCAATCGGGTTCAAGCCCGGGCTCTGGATGGGCCACTCAAGGACATTTAGAGACTTGTCCCTAAGACAACCTGCGTTGTCTTGGCTGTGTGCTTAGGGTTGTTGTCCTGTTGGAAGGTGAACCTTTGCCCCAATCTGAGGTCCTGAGCGCTCTGGAACAGGTTTTTTATTGAACCTTTATTTAACCAGGTAAGCCAGTTGAGAACAAGTTCTCATTTACAACTGCGACCTGGCCAAGATAAAGCAAAGCAGTGCGATAAAAACAACAACACAGAGTTACATATGGGGTAAACAAAACAGAAAGTCAAAAATACAACAGAAAATATATATACAGTGTGTGCGAATGTAGTAAGTTATGGAGGTAAGGCAATAAATAGGCCATAGTGCAAAATAGTTACAATTTTGTATTAACACTGGAATGATAGATGTGCAAATAGAGATACTGGGGTGCAAATTAGCAAAATAAAAAACAATATGGGGATGAGGTAGTTGGGTGGGCTAATTTCAGAATGGCTGTGTACAGGTGCAGTGATTGGTAAGCTGCTCTGACAACTAATGCTTAAAGTTAGTGAGGGAGATAAGTCTCCAGATTCAGAGATTTTTGCAGTTCGAACCAGTCATTGGCAGCAGAGAACTGGAAGGAATGGCGGCCAAAGGAGGTGATGGCTTTGGGGATGACCAGTGAGATATACCTGCTGGAGCGCAGACTACGGGTGGGTGTTGCTATGGTGACCAGTGAGCTAAGATAAGACGGGGATTTGCCTAGCAGTGATTTATAGATGACCTGGAGCCAGTGGGTTTGGCGACGAATATGTAGTGAGGGCCAGCCAACAAGAGCGTACAGGTCACAATGGTGGGTAGTATATGGGGCTTTGGTGGCAAAACGGATGGCACTGTGATAGAGTACATCCAATTTGCTGAGTAGAGTGTTGGAGGCTATTTTGTAAATGACATCGCCAAAGTCAAGGATCGGTAGGATAGTCAGTTTTACGAGGGCATGTTTGGCAGCATGAGTGAAGGAGGCTTTGTTGCGAAATAGGAAGCCGATTCTAGATCTAACTTTTGATTGGAGATGCTTAATGTGAGTCTGGAAGGAGAGTTTACAGTCTAACCAGACACCTAGGTATATTCTAAGTCAGACCTGCCGAGAGTAGTGATTCTAGTCGGGCGGGCGGGTGCAAGCAGCGTTCGATTGAAGAGCATGCATTTAGTTTTACTAGTGTTTAAGAGCAGTTGGAGGCTACGGAAGGAGTGTTGTATGGCGTTGAAGCTCGTTTGGAGGTTTGTTAACACAGTGTCCAATGAAGGGCCAGATGTATACAAAATGGTGTCGTCTACGTAGAGGTGGATCCGAGCGTCACCAGCAGCAAGAGCGACATCATTGATATACACAGAGAATAGAGTCAGCCCGAGAATTGAACCCTGTGGCACCCCCATAGAGACTGCCAGAGGTCCAGACAACAGGCCCTCCGATTTGACACATTGAACTCTATCTGAGAAGTAGTTGGTGAACCAGGCGAGGCAGTCATTTGAGAAACCAAGGCTATTTAGTCTGCCAATAAGAATGCGGTGGTTGACAGAGTCGAAAGCCTTGGCCAGGTCGATGAAGACGGCTGCGCAGTACTGTCTTTTATCGATCGCGGTTATAATATCGTTTAGGACCTTGAGCGTGGCTGAGGTGCACCCATGACCAGCTCGGAAACCGGATTGCATAGCGGAGAAGGTACGGTGGAATTCGAAATGGTCGGTGATCTGTTTGTTAACTTGGCTTTCAAATACTTTCGAAAGGCAGGGCAGGATGGACATATGTCTGTAACAGTTTGGATCTAGAGTGTCACCCCCTTTTGAAGAGGGGGATAACCGCGGCAGCTTTCCAATCTCTGGGGATCTCAGATGTTACGAAAAAGGTTTTCATCAAGGATCTCTCTGTACTTTGCTCCGTTCATCTTTCCCTCGATCCTGACTAGTCTCCCAGTCCCTGCAGCTGAAAAACATCCCCATAGCATGATGCTGCCACCACCATGCTTCACTGAAGGTTTCCTTCAGACGTGACGCTTGGCATTCAGGCCAAAGAGTTCAATCTTGGTTTCATCAGACCAGAGAATCTTGTTTCTTATGGTCTGATAGTCCTTTAGGTGCCATTTGGCAAACTCCCAAGCGGGCTGTCATGTGTCTTTTACTGAGGAGTGTCACTATACCATAATGTTCTGATTGGTGGAGTACTGCAGAGATGGTTGTCCTTCTGGAAAATTCTCTCATCTCCACAGAGGATCTCTGGAGCTCTGTCAGAGTGACCATCGGGTTCTTGGTCACCTCCCTGACCAAGGCCCTTTTCCCCTGCTCAGTTTGGTCGGGCGGCCAGCTCTAGGAAGAGTCTTGGTGGTTCCACACTTCTTCCATTTAAGAATGATGGAGGCCACTGTGTTCTTTGGGACATTCAACGCTGCAGAAATGTTTTGGTACCCTTCCCCAGAGCTGTGCCTCGACACAGTCCTGTCTCAGAGCTCTACGGACAATTCCTTCGACCTCATGGCTTGGTTTTTGCTCTGACATGCACTGTCAACTGTGGGACCTTATATAGACAGGTGTGTGCCTTTCCAAATCATGTCCAATCAATTGAATTTACCACAGGTGGACTCCAATCAAGTTGTAGAAACATCTCAAGGATGATCAATGGAAACAGGATGCACCTGAGTAAAATTTCGAGTCTCATAGCTAAGGGTCTGAATATTTATGTAAATAAGGTATTTCTGTTTTTAACGTTTTATACATTTCAAAAATGTCATAATGGGGTATTGTGTGTAGATTGATGAGGGAACATTTTTAATTTAATCAATTTTAGAATAAGGCTGTAACGTAACAAAATGTGGAAAAGGTCAAGGGGTCTGAATACTTTCCGAATGCACTGTACATTTATACTGACACTACACACCCGCACACCCACTCACATACAAGCTGTTGCTACTCTGTTTATCTTATATCCTGATGCCTAGTCTCCTTACCCCTATACATATCTACCTCCATCACTCCAGTATCCCTGGACATTGTAAATATGGTATTGGAACTGACCCTGTATATAGTATGCTTACTTACTTACTTATTGTGTTTTTCATATTTCTTCTCATTTCTCGTCTGTTTTTTCTAGTATTACGTTGTTATTGATTATTGCATTGTTGGGTTTTGAGTTTGCAGACATTAAAACTTAACTTAGCCAGCTAGGAAATGGATACCACTGCTGGTTGTTTATTTGTGTTGAATGTGTTTGTTCTGTATTCCCTCTCTCCTTTCCTCCTTTCCTCTGCTTATCTTTATCCTGTCATAATTAACCACCGCTGTGTGTGTGTGTGTGTGTGTGTGTGTGTGTGCTGGTGTGACTGTGAACACTGAACAGTACACTGTCCATATTCAGGATAAGCAGGAAAGCGAAACAGCAGCTTTAGGGATTATTCCATGTTATTGTGTAATTGGGGGAGACTCTAGACCCTAGCCTAGTAACCACATCCCATAGAACTTAACTCTAGCCTAGCAACAACATCCAATAGTAACCTACCCTAGCAACAAAATCCCATAACCACAACCCTGTTGTCATGGTAGTTGATTGTTGGAACTATATTATATATCCCTCCATTCTCTTTGTCTGTTTTGGTGGTTGTTTCTCTCTCTTTCTGTTTTAAGGGAAGTTCATCTCTTATTTCTGTATTATTTGAATGCATTTTCATGTTTTGAATGTTTTAGACATTTCCCCTGCTTGCTGGATGCACATCTTCCCTTTGTCTTCTCTCCTTTCTATAATCTCCCCTCCTTGTCGTTTTCTCTTATTTATTAATTATTTCTTTTAATTTTCTTTACTCCCTCCTTTCTCTTCCTAGCTCATCCTGTCTGTTGCTCCCTTCTCCTCTCCCTTACCTCTCTTCTCTCGTCCCTCTGTTGTCCTTGAGGCCGTCCAAACAAAGACAGAGGATAAAGCGACTCCTATCCCCTCCCCCATCCTCCTTCCCTCCTCCCCATCTCATCCCCCTCTCCTCCTCCTCCTGTTCTCTCGCTTCACCTCTCTCTGCCTCCTCCTGTCTCATTCTGTAATCTGTCCCCCTTTTCTTTTCCTTGTTCATTTTCCATCATTTTTCTCTCTTTACCCCTGTTTTTCGCTGCATATTTCCTTTTAATGCCTTCCATCCCCCACTCTCCATCTCTCTCTCCTTCCCTCACTCCCTTCATCCATACCCCATCTCTCTTTCAGCTCAGGCTTCAGGTAATCACAGTGTGTCACTAGAGTATCTGCGTGAGTGTGTGTGCGGCAGGCATGTGTTTATTGAATAGATAACCGTCACAGAGACTGTTGATGCTTCGGAACCTTTTAACGGCATCTATTTTTCCTTTTCTACAGAATCAAATTATGTGATTAAAGGATGAATAACAATAACAGAAACATCATGTGTGTGTGTGTGTGTGTGTGTGTGTGTGTGTGTGTGTGTAGGTGCCCTGTGGATGTGTATTGTGCTCAACCCCCACTGTAAGTCGGAGCAGAAGTGTGTGTGGCTGAGACAGCTGAGACGGTGGAACAGTGTCGACGTGTGTCCCTGGGAGGATGGAAACCACGGCAACGAACTGCCCAATCTCACACACGCACTGCCGCACGGCAACCCAGGTGAGAAAACACAAAGACACACACACAGCTGACCAACACAGTGCCTCAGGGCGCCCACGCCAAACCAAGTTTGAGCGAGAAAAGCCACTTTTAATCAACGATTTCTCTATTTTCTCTATTTTCTCTCTGTCGATCTCTCTTTTTCTGTTCCTCGATCTTTCTACATGCCTCTCTTTTAATCAACTTTCTCCCTCTCCATGTCTCTGCCCTGCGAGCTGTTCTTATTAGTTTCTGTCTGACTGATGGAATAAGCTCAATAACCCAGGCGGGATCCTCCAGCTATGGCTGCCCTCTGCTCCCCCTGTCCGTGCCTGAGCTAAATTAGAGAAAATACCTTTAAAAAAGTATATCAGGCCTCTGAATAGGAACAGTGCTGTGAATTAGCATTTCATCCAGGAAGCTTTAGGTGGCCGATCAACAAAATGTTTTCTGCTGAAAATTGTCCTCTTCTTTCTCTCCTTTGTTTTTGTTTTTCATCCTTTTCTTTCCACCCTCACCACCTCCCCTCCGTAATCCCTCTTTCTCCCTCTCTCCCAGACTCGTCGTCTCGTCCTCACAGGACAGTGTTTACGAGGGCCATCGAGGCCTGTGACCTGCACTGGCAGGACACACACCTGCAGCGCATCATCACACATGACCTCTACACACACACACACACACACTGTCACCACGACAACCATGGCAGTGCAGGGGCACTGTTCGACGCCCGTGGCTGGCCCCTTTGGCACGGTGAGTGTGTGTGTTTGTGTTGGCAATGACGAATACAAAGGAGGGATAGATTTTTAAGACACGTTTTTAGAATAAATTAATATTTAGTTGAAGTAGCGTTGGAAGTAACAGCCTCCCACCCCCCTTCCCTCTTGCAGAGCACGTCCCTACAGCGTGTGCGAGGGTGGATGCGCTGCGGTCACATGGTTATCCCAGGGAAGCCTTACTATTGGCCATCGCTATCGTCAACACTCTCATACGGCAGCAACAGAAACATCTTGAGCTCTTCCGCAGCCACAAAAAAGGTCAGTTAGGAACAAATTCTATGTCTTAACTGTGTGTAAATGCGGAGTAATAACAGTGTGCGGTCTGTGTCCTCTCCAGAGCTGCTCCATAAAGGCATGACATCTGTCACCAACATGGAGGGCTGGGTGGGACACCCCCTGGACCCTATAGGCACTCTGTTCAGCACCCTACTGGACACGGGTCGGGGAGACGAGGAGGGGCGCAACGCCTTTCTAGACTTCTCAGGTATATGCACGCACACTCACCCTCTCTCTCTCGCTCTCTCTCTCGCTCTCCCTTTTCTGCATATTTAATGCATTTTCAATGGATCGTTTTTTTCTGCCCCATCTTTTATTCATGAGCTGTGATTGGAGGATGGCTGAGGAACAATTAGTGATGTCATCAGTGATGATTGGGTGTGATTGGTTCTGTCAGATGGATACTAACATTCCATGGCCTTGGAAACTGCTCGTCTAGACCAGACAGACTGTGTGTGTGTGTGTGGCAGTGTTAATCCTCCTGGGGTCTTGTCTGTGGGCCCATAGAGACATCATTAAACTGTTAGAATACATGATTACCTCTCCCTAGAGAACACACAGAGAGACAGTAGAGAGACAACATGCTAATAGATCAATACATACATCAATAAAGAAAATAGCACATCCATACATTGATTGTGAAGCCCTAACATGCACTACATGACCTAAAGTATGTGGACACCTGCTCGTCGAACATCTCATTCCAAAATCATGGGCATTAATATGGAGTTGGTCCCCCCTTTGCTGCTACAACAGCCTCCACTCTTCTGGGAAGGCTTTCCACTAGATGTTGGAACATTGCTGCGGGGACTTGCTTCCATTCAGCCACAAGAGCATTAGTGAGGTCGGGCACTGATGTTGGGCGATTAGGCCAGGCTCGCAGTCGGCGCTCCAATTAATCCCAAAGGTGTTCAATGGGGTTGAGGTCAGGGCTCTGTGCAGGCCAGTCAAGTTCTTCCACACCGATCTCGACAATCCATTTCTGTATGGACCTCGCTTTGTGCACAGGGGCATTGTCATGCTGAAACAGGAAAGGGCCTTCCCCAAACTGTTGCCACAAAGTTGGAAGCACAGAATCGTCTAGAATGTCATTGTATGCTGTAGCGTTAAGATTTCCCTTCACTGGAACTAAGGGGCCTAACCGAACCATGAAAAACAGCCCCAGACCATTATTCCTCCTCCACCAAACTTTACAGTTGGCACTATGCATTTGGGCAGGTAGAGTTCTCCTGGCATCCGCCAAACCCAGATTAGTCCGTCGGACTGCCAGATGGTGAAGCGTGATTCATCATTCCAGAGAACGCGTTTCCACTGCTCCAAAGTCCAATTGCGGCGAGCTTTACACCACTCCAGCCGATGCTTGGCATTGCACATGGTGATCTTAGGCTTGGAAAACCATTTCATGAAGCTCCCGACGTACAGTTCTTGTGCTGACGTTTCCAGAGGCAGTTTGGAAACTCGGTAGTGAGTGTTGCAACCGAGGACAGATGATTTTTACGCACTACGCGCTTCAGCACTCGATGGTCCCGTTCTGTGAGCTTGTGTGGCCTACCACTTCGCGGCTGAGCCGTTGTTGCTCCTAGACGTTTCCACTTCACAATAACAGCACTTACAGTTGACTGGGGAAGCTCTAGCAGGGCAGACATTTTACGAACTGACATGTTGGAAAGGTGGCATCCTATGACGGTGCCACATTGAAGGTCACTGAGCTCTTCAGTAAGGCCATTCTACTGCCAATGTTTGTCTATGGAGATTGCATGGCGGTGTGCTCGATTTAATACAGCATGGGTATGGCTGAAATAAGCAAATCCACTAATTTGAAGGGATGTCCACATACTTTTGTATATATAGTCTATTTTGAAGGCCTTGGTTGAAATAGCAGTAATTTTGGTCCAGACTGTTTGAGTCAGGTGGGTTAGTGCTGGGGTGGAACTAACGCCTGGACACCCAGTAGCTCTGCATGACCGAATTGAATGTTGTAGTTTCCTGGGGCAGCACAGAGCTATTGTCATGATAATGGAGGTTGAGTGACTTTATTGGTTCTGATACAGAATGTTCCACAGCCTTGCTGTTTCACTCTCTATTAGATTTGGTGACAACATTTCAAAGACATGCTGTTTTTTAAAATATCCCTCCCTCTCTCTTATTTTCTTCCTCTCTCTGTCTCTCTCTCTTTCCCTCTCTCTCTCCAGGCTCTGTGAGTTCAGCCAAAAGGTTGGAGCCCCACCTCTTCCCAGCGCAACGCTTACTGGACGATGGCCAATCGTTCGTAGCACTGGCCGTAGAGACGGCTCTGATTGGCTTAGGGCAACAGAGGATGATGCCCGATGGCCTATACGCCCAGGAGAAGGTGTGTCGCAACGAAGAGCAGCTATTGGCCAAGCTCCAGGAAGTGGAACTGGACGATGCACTTGTCAAGATATTCCGCAAGCAAGCAATCTTCCTGCTAGAGGGTGAGGGGTAGATGCACACAAACACACACACACACAGTCTTGTTTAACTAACTTTGTGGGGACACACAATTGATACCCATTCAAAGTCCTATTTTCCCTAAACCCTAACGCTTACGCTAACCTTAACCTTAATCCCAAAACCTAACCCTAACTCCTAACCCTAAACCTAACCTTGAGCCCCCTAACCCTAATTCTAACTCTAACACTAATTCTAACCTTAACCCTAAACCCCCTAGAAATAGCCTTTTTCCCTGTTGGTCTAATTTACTAGTTTACTATTCTTGTGGGGACTTCTGGTCCAAGTATAATTAAACATGTCTACACACACATGCGTATATTCTCTCTCTCGCTCTCTCTAATCTCTCTCTCTCTAATCTATCTAATCTATATATCTAACCTATCTAAGCCTGTATTCTCTGTCTCCTGTAGCTGGACCATACAGTGGTCTAGGAGAGTTGCTCTACAGAGAGAGTGTTCCCATGCATACCTTTGCCAAGTATCTCTTCACCTCCCTACTACCTCACGACACCGAACTGGCATACAAAATTGCACTGAGAGCCATGAGGTAAGTACTCAACACATACACACACAAACATATCTTCCACAACTTATTTTTTTGCACTTCAGTAAAGAGTTTCTGCCCAGAAAGAACTTCAGGTAAGTTCAGTTAAAAAAGGAGCTCAGCCTCCTTTGAGTGTCAAATTATGTATGTGTGTGTGTGAGGCGTGGAGGCAGGAAGCTATCCTGTGTGCAGTTTAATCATAAAGCTGCCTTTCGCTGTAATCCTTGTTAAATAATTAAACAGCATTGAAAATTAGTTTTGGAGAGTGTTTGAATAATAAATATACAGTAATAAATATATAAATATATATTTTATGGCATTGGGTTTCATTGGGTTTCTATCTGACTGCTGAGAGGCTGAAACCTTTGGAACTTTATTTCATTCTGCCCAAATTAAACTCCTTTGATTTTTATTATATTGAAATCTTTATTTAAAAAACTCAGTCTTCAACCAGCCTCAGATATACTGGCATTAAAACGCTCTATTTCTAAATCATTTTGACTCATCTCCGCTTAACAGAAGTACTGAATCTTGGAGAGACACAGTAGGATTTCTATAAGCCTTAGAAGATATCTTAAAGGCCCATACATCCTTATTAAAGTAATAAATAAAGAGTAACCATCAGTATATTAAATGTGTGTGTTTTTAGGTTACCGGTCCTGGAATCCATGGCTCCATCAGGTGATCTGTCCAGACCTCACCATATAGTGTCAATGGTCCCTAACCGCTACCCTCGCTGGTTCACTCTGTCTCATATAGAGTCACAACAATGTGAACTGGCCTCCACCATGCTCACGGCAGCCAAAGGTAAACACACACATACACGTACTGAATGTACGAGCATACACACCACAAATGCATACACACATACGCTCAAACAATAATGTTTCTGATCTTTTTTGCAAATAGGTTGTTTTAAATGGGGTTTTAAATGGGGGTTTTGTGTGTGTTTTTGTCTTCTCAGGTGACGGGCGTAAGTTAGAAACAGTGTTGGAGTCTATCCAGAAGAACATCCACTCCTCGTCTCATATCTTCAAACTGGCTCAGGACGCCTTCAAGATCGCTACTCTGATGGACAGTCTACCAGACATCACACTGCTCAAGGTCTCACTGGAGCTGGGCCTTCAGGTAACAGACACACACACAGTAAACAGATACACACACCGATGCACTTACACACACACACCTCCCTAACCTCTACCTGCTCCTCTCTCCTCTGAAGGTGATGAGAATGACTCTGTCCACGTTGAACTGGAGGAGGAGAGAGATGGTACGGTGGCTGGTCACCTGTGCCACAGAAGTTGGTGAGTTACTCCTCTAATGATGTTTTGCATAATGTGTGTGTGGTGTATGAGGGATGTACTGTATGTGTGTGTGTAGAATATATATTTCCATGAACTAACCACCCTCTCCTCTGCTCTCCCCTGCTGTAGGTGTGTATGCGTTGGACAGCATCATGCAGAGTTGGTTCACCCTGTTCACCCCGACCGAGGCCACCAGTATCGTGGCCACCACCGTCATGTCCAACACCACCATCGTCCGGCTGCACCTGGACTGTCACCAACAGGAGAACCTGGCCTCCTCCGCCCGAACCCTGGCCCTGCAGTGTGCCATGAAGGACCCCCAGAACTGTGCACTCTCCGCCCTCACCCTCTGCGAGAAGGACCACATCGCCTTCGAGACGGCCTACCAGATCGTGTTGGACGCGGCCGTCACGGGGATGAGCTACACACAGCTGTTTACGATAGCCAGGTACATGGAGCACAGAGGATATCCCATGAGGGCGTACAAGTTAGCCACGCTAGCCATGGCCCACCTTAACCTCAGCTACAACCAGGATACCCACCCGGCTATCAACGACGTGCTGTGGGCCTGTGCTCTGAGCCACTCTCTGGGGAAGAATGAGCTGACTGCCGTCATCCCCCTGGTGGTGAAGAGTGTGAAGTGTGCAACGGTGCTGTCAGACATTTTGAGACGGTGCACGTTGACCACGCCGGGCATGGTGGCACTGCACAGCCGCAGGAACTCTGGAAAGCTGATGTCGCTGGACAAGGCTCCGCTCAGGCAGCTGCTGGACGCCACCATCGGGGCCTACATCAACACCACGCACTCTCGCCTCACACACATCAGCCCACGCCACTACAGCGAGTTCATAGAGTTCCTCAGTAAGGCCAGAGAGACATTCCTCATGGCCCACGACGGACACATCCAGTTCACCCAGTTCATAGACAACCTTAAACAGATCTACAAGGGCAAGAAGAAACTCATGATGCTCGTACGGGAGAGGTTCGGTTGACGAAAGACTAAACTTAAAAACTATTGTGATTGGTCGATGGATCTATTGAGATGGAGACCGATCACGCCCCCGTTTACTTGATTCTGCCTTTGTATCCTTTTTAACTTAAAAAGTGACGGAAAAATGGAAAACGGAACGAAAAAACAGAAAACAAGAAAAACAAAACAACTAAAAACAAACAATAAAAAGGCCACATCGGTATTAATGTGTATAGACCCTATTTAGTTCACAAACAAACAAAAAAATAACATTGTCGTGTGTGTGTGTCCCTTTTATATGTATGAAGGAGAGTGTGAAAGAGAGAGAGAGAGAGAGAGAGAACTAAAGAGAAAAATAAAATCTTTTGGTTTACACTGAGTATATGTTGTCCAGTGGCGAGATGTCCACATAGCACTCCTGTTCCCCTTCTGTTAAACGCTCACAGAGACAACGAGACAAACGCGGCTTAAAACCAAACGGAGCAAATCCATCAGACGTGACAAGTACCTCGTACGGACCCAGCTTTACTCCCCCCTTGTCCTCACCCCTCCCTCCCCACTCAGTGTAGTCAGTAGTGTGTTAACAGTAAAAGAACAACACAAACAAACAGTTCAGTTCACATTTCTTGTTTTTCCTTTTATTTCCTGTTTTTGTTTCTTGAGTAACAGTGATCACCAACTCCAGTCTGACTGTCTGCCATGGCTTTGCAGTGTTGTTCACCCTGATGCTTTACACACACACACACACTAAACAAGCACACAAACACAGAAACACACACACACACACTCAGAAACTCACGTAGTTGCAGAAACACTGTAAACACACACACACACACTCACAGAAAACACACACTTATACTGTCATAGTGCTTGCGCTTGTGGAAACTTAGCAACTGTCAACATACATTCTCAGGGATTTCTCTAAAAAAAAGCAAAGGAAAATGAAAAAAGAGAGAATGGGATCATTTTATTGTGCTGTGTATATATGATAGTATATGTCTGAATATTGAAAAAAATGTATACGTTAACTAATTTATAAAATAATATTCTATGTAATGCAAAATACTTGAAGCTGCAGTACCTTGGTTTTTATAACAAAAACATATCAGAAGGACTTTTAAAATGTGTCGCCTTGCGTTGCATCATCAGGGGCCAGGACAAAGGTCAAAGGTTAGGGGTCATCTCAGTTGGACTGTTAGCTGGGTGACCCCGCAGAGACAGACAGACTGACACCCACTGGACTGCTTGACAGGAACTGGCTGTTTGCAAAACAGGACATGGATGTTGTATTTTGTATGGACAAGCAAAATATATGTATCCAGTTGTACACACAGTTTAATTGGGCACCATAGAAGAAGAGGAGAGAGAGGCTTTCCAGGAGCCAGATCAGTGAGCCTTAGCATTACAGATGTAGAACAAAGGCCCAGTGCCTATGAAGCCGTCAAATGTAGGTCTGACAAAACCCCTGACTCTTTACTAATAATCAGCATAGAAATTTGACCTGACCACGCCTCATGTCTCCTTCCGCAGTGATCAAGTTACAAAAAAGAAGCTCCATTATATGCACAACAACCAACCAACAACATGTACATGCCTCCACAACCAACCAACAACATGTACAACATGCCTCTTCTGCTGACTCCCTTACTTTGTGAAGGACAGAAAGTTGCTATGGTAGGTCTTGACTGTTCCAATTTTTTTTTACACTTTTTTATGTTTCTCTTTTTTAAATGTTTTTTTCTCTGTAGAATTCCTCAACGAGAACAGCCTTCTTTCTTGCCTTGTCTTAACGCTTTAAAACAACCAAACGGGAGTTCTGACTACCAAACTTCGTTCATTAAAATGAAAAAGCCAACCAACTTTGGTTACAACTTTTAGTGTCTTTAATTTTTAGCTGAATGGTTTTGTGTTGAGTGCTTTAAAAAGCCCTTCTCCTCTGTTTGTTTTTTGGTGCAGAAACGTTGTCTAGTGTCTCTTGTCCCCTCCTCCCCTAGAGGTTTGTCCATAGTTCCTTTGTCCAGAGACAAATATAATTCATATTCCATTTTATTTATTATGATAGGTAAACGATTGTACTTCTTCAACAGTGTCAGCATTGCTCATGAAGTTGAAATTCAGATTTGATACACCGATATCAATTTATTTATGTAACTAAATCACTGTTTTATAAACTTGTTAATGATTAAACTTTTCTGTTTTAATTAAAATTAGTTTTTTGAGAGGAGACCTTGTGTGGTGTTTGTTTTTTCTAGTTCTGATATTTTACACTGTGTCATCAGTTGAAAAACGAGAAACATTAGGTTTGGGTTTTCCTTTTTTTTTATCCAAGAATGTAAGTGAGTGAAACCCTGGAACACTTCTGGAAAATGATGAATCCACTGAGAGTAGTAGTAGAAAGGAAGTCCAGGTTCTTTCCTGCTCGTTTGTTTCCTAGAAACAGTCTTAAAGTAGATGTGTTTGGTGTATTTGGGCGGTATTCCAAGTGTTCTGTTCTTTATCACTCCTGGTATTCCGAGATGTTTCTAATACTCAGAGTCGATATTCAGGTCATAAGAAGGAATTCCCCTCGACCACACCCACAAATTGGGGAAAACTGACATTATTTTTAATTGACCCCCATTATAAAAGAGCCAACTTCATCGTCAATGTTTAGTTATACAAAAATATGCCAAAAAGCTGCTGTGTTGTTCAATGTACATCAGAATCTACGGTTCACAATGCTCCCACATAGGGAAATAGAGTCTGCAATAAGAGCCCTGTGGCTTTGTGTGTGGGAAACATTTCATCACAGGTAATACATATTACTTGTTTTAGTGTAGTCCGTTTGTAACTCCACTCACTACTTGCAGCTGTATAGTCCGTTTGTTTGTGTCGTTGGTCTTGGCTAGCTTAATGTTTCGGTCGGTAGCTAACTAGCTAGCACTCACTCATTCACGTGGCTGCTAGCACTGTTATGAAAAGGGGCATGAGGGAAGCCTCACAATGTTATGTTTTTCAAAGTATTGAGAATGCTCGGGAGCAGGCAATGTTTAAAAGTAATCTTTAAACATGTACTTTTCTTAAATGTAGTTTTGTAACTGACTGAAACAAGCAGACAACAAAATGGTTTTAAAAAAGGTCAAGTTGTTGCTGTGAGCCAATGGGGTAACTTAGGTAGCCACAGGTTGTTTTCCCCACAGGCGGCGGGGCTGCGACATTCTATCTAAAACCGACCGGGACTGTAGAGGGATGTTAACGTTACAGTCCAGATTATTTTGTGGAATTCAAAAGCAGTATTTCCCCTAGATCTTTTTTTTGTTTGTTTTTTACAGGTGGACGCAAAGTTCCCCTTTAGTTTCCTTGGTTAGATAGCGATAGGAAGTGGGGTATTCCTTCCTCTTCCTGTCTTTTATCGTCAATGGCAACCAGGGGGACTGTAGATTGGACAGGAAGTTGAAACCACAGAGGGAGGGGGGTGGAGGAACAGGAACAGCCCCCGATGCTTCCAAACATTATTGTTGACAATGTTTTGACCCCCCCCCCCCCCCCCGCCCCCGATAGCCGTTCCATAACAAGTCAATCAGCACTGTTTGGATTTACTACCTGTGAAGTGTTTTTAACAGAACAGACCGCAGTAAATCCCCAAGCTAACAATGAACCATACTAAACAGGAACCAGGTAAAATGGTTGGAGTTGAGGGGTTGAGATTAAGCCTATATATATCTGCCTTCGTATGTATTTGGGAAAGCAAGATAAGACTGAGCACTCTTGAACAGGGAGCTAAAGGTCTGCACCTAGTCAGGACCAGAGTCAGGGCTGAGCTGTCCCCTGTCAGGACCCTAATATGCACTATTATATAGATTTATTCCAAGAGATAGTGTTCCCTGAAGTCTATTTGGGGTTGTGACTTGTGCACTGCATGATCGCCCCAACACTCAGCTTCTAGAAGAATGTTAGAGAAACTGAGACTGGGTGTTCTCATGCCAACATCTGAGCATTGCCTGTACACACACACACACACACTCTCTCCTCTCTCTCGCATGCACACACATACACACCTTGAATGGTACAGTATCTCCTGTATAAATAGCCAGGCAGTGGGGAGTTTCTGTAACCCCATCAGTGTATTTGGCTCCAAAGATAAACTGGATCACACAGCTGGGACACACACACAAAAAACATCCAGGATGAACCACACCACGATCCTGTTCTCATTCCCAGATTCCCAGTCCATATGGGACGGAATGTTCTCTCTACTTCTCTCTCTCCAGTCTGTCTTTCTTTCTCTCTCTCCCACTCTGTCTCCTCTCTTTCTCTCTCATTTTCTCTCTTTTTCTATCTCTCTCTTCTTGTTCTCTCTCCAGATTTATGTTCTCTCATTACCTCTGGAAGAACAAACTGTTACTGCCTCGACCAGAGAGAAGTCTGTGTTTTATAGCTGGGGTAATATCACCACTCACCTCTCAGTACTGAGAACTAATCTGTTTCTCAATCTATTTCTGGGGGATCCTGAGGGAGCCCACATTTTTGTTCCAGCCCAGCACTAACTCATCTCATCCAATTGGTTATCCTGTGTTTGCCGTCACACCCATCAATCACTCCCCATCCTGTCTCTCATAGTGATGTCTCCTTCCTGCTCCAGAAACAGCTGGTCAGGGAGGAGAGAGGAGCTTAGATCAGTCTGTCAAGGGACAACTTTATCCTACACCTTTACCACACCAAAGAGACTGTCCAGACGCCAGAGGAAAGAGACTCAGTATATATTTCAGTCTAACGGCCACAGCACTGGTGGATGTCTGCATTCCACTTCCTATCTTATAAAAGTCCTGTGTTGATAGACATGTCTTGCTCTGTGATTTGTTGCATGGTGGTAGACTTTGATCCTTTATCAGGGGACCGGCAGCAGGCCTCTAAACACACAACATTCTAGAACGGGGCGAAGAGCATATTAGCAAAGGTGAAATGGAGCCCCTGCTGTTAAACTGCTACTGCCATTACTGGAGCTGTGCTGCTTGTTCAGACTGTTGTTTGTTTAACTATGAT